ACGTGGGCTTTGGAGGGGTCCCCCCATTTTGGGGAGAGTGCCTTTGGGTTTCCAGGTCGGCGGATCGGGTAGGATGCATTAAAGACTTTATTTCCCTATTTTCTCCCTGAGTTGTACATTTTCCTTATTTCCTTTTCCCTTGTAAATAAACCTTTTATTAACCTTTTGTGTGTGCCTGTAGTGGAGTATTCCCACAGCCAGGCAACCCGTTCAATATCAGGGCTGCCCTGTAACAGGTCCACTGAGACCACCCACTAGGTGGGTACTGCGGAGTGCCCACAGGCCAGATGCACAGCACTTATCACTCTCACCCTAACTCTTTCATCGATTAATAACCCTATTGTTATAGAACAGGGAGAGGGGCAGCCCAAACCCCGCAAACCTGCCTATTCTACATGGGTTCTGCCATCCGCCGCATCAACACAAAACATAGGAGACTTTAATGGGAAGGAACTTTAATAAAACTAGGAAACAATACAGGTAAGGCAAAGAGTCTAGTTTCTAAATGAAGCATCCAGAGTTATCTGTCCCCTCGTGGGTAAAAGTCCATCCAAATGGGATTGGCCCAGAGCAAGGCCCCAAAGCCTACTACAAGTCTACAGCATCTTCCAGTGGGGACCCACAGAAAAGGGTCACAAACAACCGGACAAGCCCGGAAGGAAAAGAGCAAAATCAACATCAAGATAAAAGCTGCCATTGTCACCTCCCCACGGGTCTCACCCACATCTGTGTCACCCAGTCCACGACCAAAAGACAAGCGCAGTTTCTTCACGTGTCTCTAGGCTCCATGCGCCTCCTCCAGGTCTCCTGGCTCCATCCTGCTTCCTTCCTCAGTCTCTTCTGCAGCTTCTCCTCTTCCTGCTCAGCTCCACCCTCCCTTGGGTGGGGCAGGGAATCTCCCCCTTTCCTGGGGACCACCCTGTTACACTATGAACACCTTGTTTTGTTTCTTTATCATCAAACCTTAGATCACTGAAAAAATACCTATAGAGAATATAGGGGGTGCCCTTATCAGTCATGCACAGTGCACCTTCCAGACAAAAGCCAAATGTTCTCTCTGGTGCGTCATAATACGGGCTTCCATATGACTCAAGTTAGCTCTGCTATTTCAGATCCTTGGGACCAAAGTTGGGTACAGGGAGTCCAAGTCGCCGTGTGCACTGGCTGGCATTCCTCTCCCGTGGCAACACTGTCCATCTCAAGGGAATATGTCCCGACCCAAAATGCTGCAGTCCAAGTCTCCCAGGACATCCTCCATTCAGAACAAATCCTATAAAATTAGCTAACATCATCAGAAAAGACCGAGACACCCTCAACCTGGATTCAAATAATCCAAAACACTATAACCTTCCTAAATAACTCTCTCGGGACTAACACCTCCTCTTGTTTCCTCTGTCACTCTCACCCTAACTCTGTCATCGATTAATAACCCTGTAAACACCTTGTTTTGTTTCTTTACCATCAAACCTTCGATCACTGCAAAAATACCTATCGAGAATAAGGGGGGTACCTGCCTGTTCCTCAGGGAAGAATGTTATTACTAGTAAAACCGGGGACTCCAACTCTCCGCTGACATGGTTTCAAAATCCTAGAGTGTCATGGCTCCTCCCACTCTTGGGGTCAATACTAATGATAACCTTGTTTTTTCTTTTCGCTCCTCGCCTCCTAAATTCATACAGGCTCGCATTCGGGAAATGTCTCCTACCACCTTTAACCAACTCCTTCTCCACCCATGTTCTCGCATCCCTGCAGAAGACCCTCATCACCAGGCCTGAGTCACCCCCTTGGTCTTTGCCCCCTTTCAGCAGGAAGTAGCCAAAGAAAGAACTGTCGCCCCTCTTCCTATCAACAAAAGGACCTGGGGGGGCAGGAATGCGGATACCTGCCTGGAGGACTCAGACAATGAGACTCCCCACTCCCCCTGTGAGTCTCTTCTCAGACAAAGAACCTCTACCTGCCCCATGAACCTTTTGGCGCCCTACAAACTTTTCCCGCCATAGGAACCCAACTTCCCACCTGACCCCTCCTCACCCTATAAAACCCTGCCTCCCCCTGACAACGTGCGCGGCTTCACTGACCCCCACCTTGGGTGTGTGTGGTTCCCCCCCCCCACCCTGAGGCGCAATAAACTTTCCCTCCCTTTGAGAACTGTAGCCTGGCTCTCCTCTTTACCGCGCCGAACCTTTCACACTCCAACTGGTGAAAATCCAAGGGTCTCACGACCCCCTCCTCAGGTCTGATGAATTGGCTGGAGTGTCTCAGAGGACTCAGGAGACACTGGCTCCCCTCACCAGTTGGCTGGAGGATGGATGGAGGCCTGATGCACAGCCAGGTGGAAGAGATGCACAGGGTGGGGGGAGTGTGGCCCAGTCCCTCTATGCGGTCACCAGCCTGGAAGCTCTCCAAGCCCCACTCTGGGGATTTTAGGGAGGCTCCCCATGGAGACATGATGAGCCATTAACTCCTCTCCAGACCCTCTCCCCTCTCTGGAGACCAGCTGAACATTCCAAGCTTCTTAATCATGACTTGGCCTTCCTGGGGACCAGGCTGAATATTCCAAGCTCCCCATCAGGGAGCCCACTCAGAGTCCCCTCCTTAAGCCTCATTTAACCCTCAAGACACCTCCCTAAGGAAGGCAGCATTATCATCCCCATTCTACAGATGAGGAAACTGAGGTTCAGAGAGAGCCACTGACTTGCCCAAGTACAGAAGAGGGCACTGAACCCCAGGCCCATGGCTACAGGTCCAGAGCCCTGTGCACACACTGACCCCACACTGGTCCCACAGATGCAGAGGGTGTTCCTTCAAGCGGCTTCTCCCTCTTCTCCAAGAGACTTGGGGAGCAGCAAGGGGACATTTGTTCAGAATTTGTTGGGAATGAGAAGAAGGGACAGCTGGGTCTCCCTCTGGACTGGGTTTCTGCTCCCAAGGTCTAGTGGCAGGAAGGATTCCCCCACCAGGTCTGAGATCTGGAAAATTCTCAACGCCTCCCTCCCTCCTTCTCTGCCAGTTGAGATCCTACAGGTGTCCTCAGTCCGGCCTGGCTGAGAATGGTGTCCACCTGGGGAGCTGGGGCCGAGGTCACCTGGTCCCTCTGGTGACCACCAGGGTCACCTGGTCCTGCCATGACAGTGTGGGCTCGTGCTGAGTTTCTGTTGGGGGCTCCAGGGGCTGGAGAGAAGCCCTGGCACCTCTAGTCACAGACAAAAAGGGAGAGTACCCTGTGGTCAGCCTGGTGCCACGACAGGGGAATGTCCCTGAAGGCCCAAGCCACCACCAGACGCCCGTCACTGAGGTCCAGCCTCACACACCCCTGCCGATCGCTGTGCTATCCCTGCAGCCCGGGCTTCCTCTCCCGACTTCCACCCTCAGGCTGCCAGCTCACTCTGGGGAAGGCCCTGGTCACCCGCAGCCTGCTGGCTGGTTTTGTCCCTCCCTGTGGGCAGAGCCTCCAAGCCAATAACCTGGTGAGGCTGCACTGGTCCACAGCCTTTGCTCTGGGGACAGTCCCCCACCCCAAGGAGCTGGAAGAGCAGGTCTTCATGCACGAAATGCTCTACTTCCGGTTCCCTCTTAGCTCCTGGGGCAGGTGTGAGCAAGGGAGGGTGAATTCATAGAGGACAGGCCGCTGTCCCCACTCTGGGGTCATTCCGAGGAGGATGATGCTGTGCCCATGGAGGCCAGGAGAGGGGTGGGGGGACAGGAAGAGCTGATGACAATCTCCCTTCTATCAGGCACGGCCCAACGCTTGCTCAGCCCATTTCAGGTCTCTGCCACGTGATCTGACGTCACCATCCCGCGGAGACAATGGAACCCCACTACAGGAGGCGAGATGACCAGGCCACGGTCACCATCAGGAAAGTGGGACCTGAGCCCCCATCTCTTCGAGGCCACACTCTGTGCCCCTCCTGAGGTCAGGCTCCACCGGCTCCTGACCTGGGCTAGCAAGCTCGGTGTGTGCCCAGCGCCAAGGCTGGCGCCTGTAGTGACTGCCCTTGCACCAAAACGTAAATGCTCAGATCAGAACCCAACGTTCCAAAAGCACATGGGAAGGAATTCTGCAAAATCCAGCAGTTTGCATTTTCTGGGTCATGAGAAACAGAGAAGCGATTGCGTGGCCACTTCCCCCGCCAGGGGACGCACCTGCACCACGGCCATGAGAAGCGTCTGCTCTTTGGGGTGTTGGAAAGGTCCATGGGCAACCAGCAGTGCCCACGGGTCTCTGCACACTCCAGGGGACCAGGCTCGAAATGCTGCCAGGGGCCAAATTCCAGGGACACACTCACTTCAGATCCTGGGGCTGGGTGGTCTCGACTGTTCCGAGACCTGGGGGCGACTTCACTCAATCCTTCACGCGACGTCTGCTCTTCGGACACCTAGTCTATGCCACGCGCCGCACTAGACAGGACCGAGGACGAGACAGGCTTGCTCCCCACCCTCGAGGAGGTTACAGGTGAGGGTAAAGAGGACAGGATGGGTGAGCAGCAGGGGGACCTCAGACTCGGTTGCCTTAGCCAAGTCTGTGAGGTAGGGAAGGCCACTGAGGAACGGACACAGAAGCTAAGGCCTGAGTAGGAGTTCGTGGGAGGAAGAGAGCTCCGGACAGAGGGTGCAGACCCGAGGGCTGAGGGGAACCAGCAGGTCTAAGAGCCAGGAAGAAGCTTCAGCTGGGCTGGAGCCTTGCCTGAGGGGGTCTGGGGGTGAAAGATGTGGGAAAGGGAAGAAGGTCAGAACCAGAACTTCCTCCTGGGGGGCCGCCTGAGGCTCCCAGCTCCTCATTGCCATGATTTTGACACTGACCTTGACCCCGGCCTATTCTAGGGAGTCCTCACCACATCTGTCTGGTCAGGGAGGCATCTCCAGAGATGGGGAGCTGCAGAAAGAGCCACACTCAGTGCACTGGACACACCCTGTCCAGGACTATTTGCCTAAAGTGTCTTTTCCAGATGACGGGAGGGCAGACCAAGGCTGGGTCAGTGCCCCCCTTGAGCACCCACAAGACAGACCAGCACACAGGGGCTCTGAGAACTCCGAGCTTTATTTACAAACAGGTCACAGCATCCCTCACCCGCTACCTCCTCACGCCCTACCCTGTGTCCCCAGGAAGGAAACAGGCCTGGAGACCACCTGGGAGGTGCGGCCTGAGTCACCCGGGTCTAGGCCGGGCAGGTCCGCCACCAGACGGGGAGGCTAGAGGCAACAGCAGCACTGTCCTCCACGTGACCAGTCCTCAGGGCTTCAGCCGGGAGGCGTGGGGCCGGGGAACCTGGGGTTCTGACCAGGTTGGCATGGGGGACGGGACTTGCGTTGGCAGGGCCTGGATGGTGAACAGGGAGGTCTCAGAGGGGGCAGGTCACCCCAGCCACATTCCCTTCTGAATCTCAGAGTTGGGGTTATCTTCCCGGTTGGGGTAGGGCAGCCAGCAGGGAATGGTGGAGCCTGGGGGTATGCCCGGGGTCAGAGTTGGGGGGCTGGGTCCCTGTAAAGAGATCCTGCAGTGCCCAGGGCTGCTCCCAGGAAAGCCCAGACCATACCAAGCAGGAAGGGCCCGTGGCTGACAGCTTCCGGTGCTGGGCCTCGGAGGGGATACAGGACCAGAGGTCCAGGCTCTTGGGGGCTGAGCTTTTCTCGGGTTTCGGAGGGAAGACGTCCCAGCCCAGCAGGCAGTGCTGTGGAGAGCAAGGGCTTCAAGTGCCTGGCCTAGGCAGGGAGCCCCCTGTGAGGGCATACCCCAGCGGGGAGCTGTGCCTCTCCTCACAGACTGGCAGCACCCCATGAGGGTCAAGGGGCCTTCTAAGCAGTCAGTGTCCCCCCAAAACTGAAGTACCCCCAGGGCAACTTGTGTCCAGCACTGGTCACCCCAGTATCCATTTCCTAACCCCATTAATCAGGCCCTGGGTGGAAGAAAGGCCTTGGACACTCTGAGCACATCCCCAGTGTGGGGCCTGGCCCCCAACATGGCAGGTGTTGACTCACCCAAGTCAGGCCCCTGCCACATGCCCGAGGAAGCCACTGCTGTGCCCACGTAAACTGACTCCTTGGCACCCCTTCTCTCCCCAACCCCAGCAACCCCACTCTCAACTGGGAATGGGTAGGGTCCCCACATCCTCCATCCTGCACAGGGGATGCACACCACCCGACGGGAGGGGCTGCAGAAGCCTAAGACTCAGGGTTCAGCGCCCCCAGGCCCCGTGGGGCTGCTCACCCGGGGCAGGGCCAGTGTGTCAGAGGCATCAAAGCTCTTCCGTCGGTGGATGTGGTGGCGGTACGGGGGCTCCAGGATCGACAGCGGGACGCTCACCCTGGGTGGGGGTGACACGGGGGCATGGCTGCCGCTGCCTCCAAGCCGGCTCCACCTCCCTCCTCAGCTGCAGCCACTCCCCCACCCTGGCGACCCACCACCCTCACTCCGTGTCCTGCCTGCTCTGGCCACTCACCTGACCTGTGCCGGACGCGCCAAGGTCTCAGGGCCCCGCTGGCCCCGGGGCAACCTGCACAGGCGGCAGGGGGCGCCAGGATCCGAGGGCACCAGAAACAGGCGCCGGTTGACACGGTAGCAGTACACGCCTGTGAGGCCATGACAAGCAGAGGGAGCGGGGACACATGGGAAACAGGGCAGCTGGGAAGGACACGAAGGCCACCAGGGAGGGGCGAGGTTGGGTGACAGGACCACCCTCAACCAGGGCTTGCTCCATCCTGTGGGGACACCAGGCCTCCCCCCGCAGCCTCCCTAGGTCCCTGAGAGTGGGCTGGGCTGCTCTGGGGAGAAGGGGATGACGTGCGGGGACGCTGAGAGTGGCTGCGAGGGTTGACACTCACACTGGTGCTCCTCCGGGACATCCCCTCGCTCGCGCAGGCCCAGGAACGGGGATCTGCAAGGACCGGGGGGGTGGTGAGCAGGCCTGGGTGTCGGAGGCCCTGAGCTGCCCTGCCCAGCCTCACCGCCCGCCCCTGCTCACCCCTGGTCACTGCAAACACACTCCTCCTGGTGGGCGTCCCGGAAGTTCCGCAGCTCCGAGAAGAAGGCCTCGGGCTTGTTGGTGACAGGAGAGCTGCTGTCCAAGGAGCCTGCAGTGGGCAAAGCGCCAAGACGGCCGTGTGGCCACTGACCAAGCCTCGCGGACGCTCTGCCCCGGCACCCCAGGCCCCGGCTCTGTACCCCTCCATGCTGTGTTCACAGCCAGGGGGACCCCCATGCACTGTGCTGTGTTTTGTCCCAATATCTGTCTACACTGCCACACACCCACTTGTCTGTGCAAGGAATAGTTATTGCTCCTACTGCGGGCCAGACGGTCACGAGTGCTGGGGAAAGAGCAGCGAGCCAGACAACGTCTGCCCTCACGAGGCTTAGATTCTAATATGGTGGCAACAGATGAACCAGTCACCAAAGAAATCTGTGCGACAGCAAGGCGTGGGGACACCCGCTGGGAGCAGAAAGGGCAGAGCCAGGGAGATGCGCAGGCAAGGGCAGGGTGGCAGGGGAGAGCGGGTGTATCTCGGCAGAGACAGCAAGGAGGAGAGAGCCGTGCGGACCTCCCAGGCAGGCGGAAGAGCAGGGTAAAGGTCCTGGGGCAGGCGTGTGCTGAGTGCCCTGAGGAAGCGGCAGGAGGCGCCAGTGGCTGCAGTGGAGTGAGGGGTGAGGCTGGAGATGAAGCTGGGAAGCTGGCAGGGATGGCTGGGGCCAAGGAGTGATGTAATCAGACCAGGAACCCCCCTGTGGCTGCTTCCAGGCTGGGGGAGCAGAGGAACCAGGTAGGTTACCGCAGGCTCCCTGCTGAAAAGGTAGCTGGATTCTAGAAAAAGGGTGAAGGCAGAGCGACCCGGATGTGCCCATGGACGGGAGAGGCACGGGAAGAGCACAGGAGGAGCGGCGCTGACGCCAGCTCACTGGCCAGTTACTGGGGACATGCGCTGCCACAGAGACAGGAAGACGCGAGGAGCGGGCAGGCTGGACATCAGGACCTGGACTGTGCACAGCTACCGACCTGCGAGTGTGGATCAGAGAGGAGGGGAGTGGGGCACAGTAAAAACGGGGGAGTACAGAGATCGTCAAAAGCCTCAGCACTAGGGGCCCACAGGGCGGGGCCCAGGGAGGAGTCAGGAGACTGAGCGGGGCCTTGGTGTCCCGGGACAGGAAAGCGGACCCAGCAGAGCAACTGAAAGCAGCAGCTGGGACGGGGTGAGGGGGGGTGAGGGGGGACGGGATAAGGGAGGGCGGATGGGGGTTGGGTGGGGGGCGGGGAGTGGCCGCCATGTCCCTCACTGCTCAAGGCCAAGTACGAGGAGACCGAGAGCTGGGCCAGGAGCCGACACAGCAGCTGTCACTGGAGACAAGGACCCTGCCAGCAGATGCCGGGGACCCCAGTCTGATTTCAGAAAAAGCAGGGCGGGGGGGGGGACTAGAAGCAGCGAGTCTGGAGAGCTCCTTGGGGGAATTTTGTTATAGAGAAAACGGGCAGTTTACTAGAAGTCAACGCAGGCTAACGGGAGGAATTTTCCAGCAGCAGGGGAATAACAGACGGAGCAGAGGAGACTGAAGTCGTTCAGCCTCTTGGCACCTCAGTCTTCAATGGGGTCGGTGATGGCGGCTCTGCATCCGATCATCACGAAGAATAAAGGAGGGAGCAGGAGGAAGGAGAGGAAAGCAGGCAGGCGGGAGAGCAGGCGGCACTCGGAAGAGCACTGTGCTGGCACCCAACAGGCGACCATCAGTTCTCACTGTCCCTCCAGGGAGACAGATGCTGACGGGGAAGGAAAGGACAGGAAGGGGCCTCGCCAGGAGCCGGGAGAGCCCGGGCAGAGCACACAAGCACTGGACGGACCTTAGGGGGGAGCAGACACCCAGAGAAGGGGGGCGGGAAGCTGAGAGATGGGTTTGGCCCCTGCGCCCTCTATATGTGACTTTATAAATAACTGAGGCCTCTGAGCCCCAGTTTTCTCCTCTGCACAATGGGGCAGGTGCAAGGGGGGCGGGGGGGGGGCGGGGCAGGCGCCTCCATCTTCCCAGACACGAGAAGCAAGGCAGTGAGCCAACAGCGTGGAAATCCTCAGGACAGGGCCTGTGTCCTCATCACCACCAAGTCCCACCCAGCAACCCCTCTGCCTCTGCGCAGTCACTCGACCTCTCTGTGCCTCAGTTTCCTCCTCTATGAGCTGAGGACCCAAATGGCACCGATCTCAGTTCCACACTCATTCCACAATCATCAGTTAAGGGCCTACCCCATGCCAGGCCCGTTCTGGGCACTGGCTTGGGCGCCACAGCAATGAAGACAGCCGGGCGCCTGCCCTAATGGAGGAACGAGGAGAGAAGCAAGGAAACAAGACGACTTCTGAGAATGAGGGAGCTGGAAAACATATAAGTGGCCGATAGAAGAGGCAAAGATGTGGGGGCAGAGGCCCTACGCCAACATGAGGGTTCCAGAAGGTCTATCACTTGAGCCGAGTCCCATCAGTCCTGGATGATGAAAGGGGACCCGTGGCTGGGAAGGTGGGAAAGCGCATTCTAGGCAGGAGGAGTAGCAAGTGCAAAGGTCCTGAGGTGGCCATGAGTGTGGCAGGCCTCCTTGTGACAAGCAAGGAGGCCAGCGGGGCTGGAGCAAAGAGGCCAGTAGAATATATGCAATAATGTGGCACCTATGACTCATTTATTCATCCAACCAATGCTGGGTGAGCACCATCTTGCTGCCTATCACTGGGCCACAGGCTGTCATGAGACACACACAGAAGGTGCTCAGCGTGGGGAGAGGAAGGCCATCGTGAGAAACAGCAGCACCCAATAGGGGCTCAGGCAGGTGCATAGGGAAGTCAGGGTGCAGAGGCCTCCGCCCCACTCCCGAGCATGGGGGCAGCCCACACCTGCAATCCAGTCATAGCCCAGGTACGGTCGGAGGCGCCAGTTCCGCTCAGGCACTGGAGATTCCTCCTTGCGGAAGGTCACTCTCGGCTGAGGAGGGCAGCAACAAGGGACGAGGTTTAGGCCAACAGGTTTGGGGGCCAAAGAGGCCTTACCTTGAGGACAGGATAGGGGACCCAGGGGCCATACAAGGCTCAGGAGCTGGAAGGTAAGAACTTGGCCCCTGGCCCCTCTATCTGTGACTCTGGAGCCTGGGTCTTCCCATCCGTCTAATGGGGCTCATCACCTTCCCCCCAGTCTGAGAAGGACACCACTTATCCGGCACCCAGGCTGAGCTGGGCGCCACTAACAGCATCTCTCAGAAGCCTCTCACAGGAGGTGCCCAGGAGGGCATCTGTCAAAAGGGGACGCTCCCACCCACAGGTGCCCCCTCCCCATGGTACCTTGGACACATTGCTCTGCTGAGCCAGGATGGACCTCAGGGCCTGTGCCTCTTGGGGCCCCTCCCGGGCCTGCTCCGTGGAAAGCTGCGACTCAGTCGAATCTGAGGTGGTCACCAAGGGTGCCGAGCAGGGCCTCGGTCCACCCAGGGACTCCCAGTGGTGGCAGCTGCCAGGTGGGAGATAGCTCTCCCCAGAGCTGGCCCCGCAGGGCCAGGATGTGTCCCAGGGGCCGCCTGGGTGGGTTTCCTCGGGGTAGGAGGTTCTCAGGGATGTCAAGGAAGTCTCCGGGGATGACGGCATCTCCGAGTTACCACAACTGCTGGAGTCTAGGCTTGACTGAACAGAGAGACCAGGTCACTGGGGCACAGTACAGCCAGAGGCCCCCGACCCAGCTGGCCTGCACTGGGCATATAAGCCTGGGTCCTCAGTCCACTCCAGCCCCAGCAGTGTCCCAGGCCAGTCTCTGCCCTAGCTGGGCCTCGGGTGACCCTGCGGCCCCCTCCTTGCCACCTGGGAGTTCCTAAGGTGCGCACCCACCTCTGACGCTGCCTGGGCCACCGCCCGCCGCACGGCCTCCTGGCCAGCCCACAGCTGCCTCAGAAGCTGCAGGTTGAGCTGCCGCAGCTGCACCAGATCCTCAGTCTCCCCCATCCCAGGTGTCGCTGTCGCTGACTCCTGATCGCAGGATGCCCTCAAGGTTGGGTTCTAGGCCCAGTTCTTCCACCTGAAGCCTGTGGAGCCAGGGGCCTGGGTTCAAATCCCCACCCTGACATTCCCTAACTGCCCATCCTCAGGCATGTTCCTGAACCGCTCTGCCTCAGTTTCCTCATCTGCCAAACAGATGACAAGAGAATCCACCTCTTAAGGTGGTTGTAAGGATTAAATGAGGCCATGCATGTTAAATCTCAATATGGTGCCTGGCACACAGTAAGTGTTCAATAAATCCCTATTATTACACCAGCCACAGTGTGTTTCCAAACAGGACGAAAGAGAACAAGCCCCTTTAACAACCTTCATTATGAAATCAGGCTAGTTTAATACGTGGAAAACAACCAAGGCAAGTCTACAAATGTAAAGAATTCTGTAACTTGTGAATCCAACACAACCAGGCTCCCCGAGGGCTCTCCTCTCTCTCCTGCCCTCCCTTCTGCCCTTTCCTTTTACAAATGAAGAAACCAAAGTTCAGAGATCTTAAACAATTTGCCCCAAGTCACACAGCAAGTGGCAAAGACAGGATGTGAACCCACATCGGACACCAGGGTCCGTGGCAGACCAGCCTTTCCCTAGTGGGGGAGAGGGGCCTGGAAGGTCTCCCGCTCTTGGCCTTTGGCCCCCCAGAGGTCAGGCTCAGGGACACACCGATGTTTCCAGAGGGATTCCTGTGGGTTGGGGAAGGGGCTTCGCACTTCCCTCAGCGTCCCTGGCTGACTCCTCCAACCAGAAACTCCAGCCCCCCAACACACGACATCACAGTCTCCAGACTGGGTGCTGGGCCATCCTACCCACCCCAGCTCCCCACTCCTCAGGCCTCCCCAGGGCCAACCGCAGGACCACAGCGGAGATGCGGGGCCACCCCCCAGCCCCCCACGACCCCGCAGGGACGGGGGGCCAGAAGAGGCGCGAGGCCAGACGACTGGCGGGAGGGTGCAGGCCGGCGGGGTGCGCCGGACGGGCGGAAGGCGCGTCCTGAGCTCTGCCCCAACGCGGGGAGCGCCGGGGGCCACCCCTTACCTCCAGGCCGAGGGGCCCCCTTCTCGCAGGGGTCGGGAGCAGCCCGCCGCCCGCACCCCGGGAGGGCGTTCAGGAGGGGCACGGCGGCCGCAGAGGTACCAAGGGGAGGCGGCGCAGGACCCCGGAAGGGACACTCGGGCTCCCCTCGCCTTCCCTCCGCGCGGTGGACGCGGGGCGCCCCGCCGAGCGCGCCCCGCAGCCGGCCCCGAGACGCCGGCCGCCCCGCCCCGCAGCCCCGCGCCGCCAGCCGGGACTTCCGCCCGGACCCCCGGAGCGTCGCGGCCGGGGGCGGGGCCTGACTCAGCCTCCTTGATTGGGCAGAAGCGCGCGCGCCCCTGCGAGCGTCACTCCGCGTGCCGAAGCGGCCGTTTCAGCATCGGGGCGGGGCTAACAGCGGAGCAGCAGCTGATTGGTCAACTTCCCAGGCCGCGCGGGCGCTCGACCTCCGTACTGGCGGGCCCCCCAGGGCGGGCTCCGATTGGTCGGCGCGGGGGCGCGGGCTACCCGGAATTCCGCGGCCGCAGTGTCCGAGGGTTGCCAGGGGGACGAGCGGAGTGAGAGGGCGGCGGGCGACCCAGGGTTTCGTACTTTCAAAAATTATTTATTTATTTATTTATATTTACTTATTAGATATTATTATTTATTATAAGTGTCTATGGCATGTGGGCCGCGTCGAGAAGCCCTGATACGGGGCACTGGGCGGCAGGGAATTGGAGGGTCCCTGCCTTTGGGAGGCCAGGCAGGGGGCAGAGGCGCTTAGAATCCAGTCTGCAAACACCAGTCGGTTTATAGGGAGTGCCCCCTAAGCGCCAGGTGTTTTTCCATATGCCAAGGCATTTTAACCTCATAGGTGTGTTTTAAGATGGGAGTTACCCCATTTTACAGGCCGAAAGAGAGGCCATGAGAAATGGACTTGCCCAGAACGTTCAGAAATCAGTCAATACGATGCACCAAATTCACAGCCAAAAAGGGAAAAACACCTAGACAGATACAGACTAAGCCACCAAGCAACCTCCAATTTTCTTACTAGTTGTGTTACAGGGCAGAGAGAAGGGCAGCCCTCCTCCAGGTCTCCTTCTGGCTCCATCCTGCTTCCTTCCTTCCTCAGTCTCCTCTGCAGCCTCTTCTCTCTGCTCAGCTTCACCCTCCTTTTGGGTGGGGCAGGGAACCTGGAACCTCCCCCTTTCCTGGGGACCCCCTTGTTACACTGGAAGCGGGAAGTGCCACAGAACTGCCTTTTACCTTAAGAGTGAGTAGAAGTTCCAGCATTTGACAAAATCCAAAATTTCTGACTTTTAAAGGTCTTCCAGGAAACTAACAAAAAGGGAACTTCCTTACCCTGATAAAGGCATCTAAGGAATGCCTTATCAGCATATTTCATCCAATGGAACTGAATGCTTTCCCCCCAAGATCAGAAAAAAGTAAGGATGTTTACTCTCACCATTCCAACATTATACTAGAATTCTAGCGATTTTCTAAAGAAATAAGTCATTTAGATTGGGAAGAAAGGAGGAAAGCTGTCTTTATTCACAGAAGGCATGAAAATAGAAAATCTCAAGAAAAAGTCTACCAAAAAGCTACTAGAGTTGTTAAGGATGGCAAGGTTGCAGGATAGAAGATCACTACACAAAATCAACAGTACTTCTATTAGCAGTAAGCAATCAGAAATTGAAATTTTTAGGATACTATTTAAAACAGCACCCAGAAATATGAAAATTAAATGCTTAGAGGTAAATCTGAAAAAATACACAAGACGACATGTCCATTAAAAATTATAAAACGGGGTCCTCCCTGGTGGCTTAGGGGTTAAGTCTCAGCACTGTCACCACTATGGCCTGAGTTCAATCCCCAGCCAGGGAGCTGATCCACATGGCACAGCAGATATCTCCTGTCTCACCAGCTGCTCCCCTTAGCAACATAGTTTAGTAAATCTGCTTGTTCTGCTCCCCACTCTAGTGAATCCTCTCACCCTCCCCCTACACCCCAGTTCTTCTACACACAAAAAATTGATAACTAAAAAAATTGTATAAAAAATTTATAAAATTTCAAGTGAAATTAAGAGTTAAATAATTGGAGAGGTACCTATGTTCATGGATTGAAAGACTCAAAAATTTCAGAATGTCAGTTCTCATAAATTGACCTGTAGACTCAATGCAATCCCCATCAAAGTCCCAGTAAATTCCTGAAATTCTTTTGGAAATGCTAAGGATCTAAGTAGAAAAAAAATTAATAAAATGTGAAAACAAAGAACAAAGTCAGATGGTCAACACTACCTGTTTCAAGACTTATCAGAGAGCAACAGTTATCAAGAACATGTGTATTGGCATCAAATTAGAGAAATAGATCAATGAAACAATAAAGTCAAAAATAGTCTCACTCACATAGGATCAGTTAAGTTTTGACAAAGGTACAAAGGTATTTAAGTGGAAAAGGGTTAGCCTTTTCAACAAATGGTGTAAGAACAATTAGATATCCATATGCAAAGAGATACCACAAAAAACAAGATTGTAAACCCCCTCTATGTTTTTAACACATGTAAATATTAACTAAAATGGACCTAATTGTAAAATCCAGAACCATAAAACTTCTAGATAAAACCCCCAGAGAAAATCTTTGTGACCTTCGATCTAAAAGAAGTTTCTTTTAGATTTGTTGAAAAGGATGTGGTGAAAAAGGAACTCTTTTAGTTACACTGTTGGTATGAGTGTCATCTGGGGCAACCATTAAGTAAAAACATCTGAATTTACCTTAAAAAAACTAAGAATGGAAATACTGTATGACTCAGCAACCCCACTCATGGGCATCTATCCAAAGAATATGAAACCATCAACACAAAAAAAACCATGTTCCACAATTAGCACAGGAATAATCTTTACAATAGGTAGGACACGGAAGCAGCCCAAATGTCCATCAATGGAAGATTGATTCAAGAAGCTGTGGCAGAATATGGAATATTATTCAGTCATAAGGAATAATGAAATGCAACCACATTCAACAAAATGGAGGGCGTTTATGAGAATGATGTGTAGTAAAGCGAGTCAGATACAATAAAACTAATACTGGCCATTTACAGAGCAGATTCAATGAAGTAAAATACTTAGAAAAACTAGCAGACATCAGTAAAACACCATGAGGGTTCTGAGGTTAATATCTCCCTCTTAGGAGGGAAAAGGACAAGGGGCTATAATGAATGGGGGTGGAAGATGTTAAGTAATGTTAAGTAAATAAAAATGTTAAATAGACTAAGTAAATAAAAATAGAATGGTCAAGAGCAAAAAGAAATTTCTTAGGTATTATACCAACTGTATGATCTACAGAAGAAAAAATTGATAAATTATAGACTTAATCAAAATCAATGGCATCTGCTCTTTGAAAGACATGGTTAAACAGGGGCCTCCCTGGTGGCTCAAGGGGTAAAATCTCAGCACTATGAAGCTATCACCAGCCATTGCAAGCATGAGTTCGATCCCCGGCCAGAGAACTGACCCATATGGTGCAGCAGACCTCTCCTGTCTTGCCCCCTGCTCCCCTCAGCAGTGTATTTGAGTCAGTCTGCCAGTTCTGCTCCCCACTCTTTCTCTGGTGAATCCTCTCACCCCCCTCCCTCCAAACCTCTGGGGCCTACCGCCCAGCTCTTGTATGCACAAAAAAAAAACATGGTTAAACAGATTAAAAAAACAGCCATTAGATTGAGAAAATATTTGCAAGAATTTGTATCTGCAGTATGTAAAGAACTCTCAAAATGACCCTGATTTTAAAATAAAAGAATGAGACATTTCACTAGAGCCAATAAGCACATGAAAAGAGGCTCAGCCAAACTCCATTCAGTATCTTTATCCACCATGAATGCGCTAGCACCAGCTCTCACCCAATCTGACTCTCTAGAGTCTTCTATTGCTCTGGGCTCCATTCACTAGGCAAATGTAAAATAAACCACAGTGAGATACCACTCTTTGACTGTATGTCTAAAATGATGGTGTATCAAATTGAAGACTCTGTATACCAAGTGTTGATGAAGGTGGGGGAAAAAACTATAATCCACATGCACTGCTGGTGGGAGTACAAAATGGTACAGCCACTTTGGATAACATTTCAGCATCATGTATCTTTAAAAATTAAATATAAATTTACCATATTACCCAACAATTCCAATCCTAGATATCTGCCTGAGAGAAATGCAAACATTTGTCTACACAAAGACTTGTACAAGAATGTTTTCTGGCAGCACTATTCATAATAGCCATAAAAAAATAAAATGACCTAATTAGTAAGTAGATAAACTAAATGTGGTGTCCTATCATGGAAACTTTTGGCAATAAAAAGGAATGAAGTACCAATACCCACTAAAATACAGAGGAGGGCCTCCCTGGTGGCACAAGGGATTAAGACACAACCTATGAAACTATCCGCAGCCACTGCAACACGAGTTCGATCCCCGGCCAGGTAGATACCCACATGGCACAGCAGACCTCTCCTGACTTGCCCACTGCTCCCCTCAGCAGTGTATTTCAGTAGATCTGCCTGTTCTGTTCCCTGCTCTATCTCTGGTGAACCCTCTGACCCCCTCACATCTCTGGCCTGTACCCCAGTTTTTGTATGCATAAATAAATCTTTAAAAAAATAAATAAAATATAGAGGACCCTCATAAACAGAATGTAAGTGAACAAAGTCACATGCTGTATTCCAATTACATGAAAAGACCAGAAAAGGCAAATTTATAGAGACAGAAGGTCCACTCATGGTTCCGTGAGTATGGGGTAGGAACAGGGAGTTACTGGACACAAGAGATTGTTCTGGAGCATTGGAAATGTCCTAAGGTCGGTTGTGGGGATGGCTGCACACATTTGTAAATTTGCAAAAATGATTGAACTGTACTCTTAAAATGAGTGAATGTTATGGCATGTAAATTTTATGGTGCGGCAGACCTCTCCTGACTCACCCACTGCTCCCCTCAGCAGTGTATTTCAGTTAATCTGCCTGTTCTGTGCCTCAGTGTCTCTGGTGAATCCTCTACCCCCTGCACTCTGGCCTGCACCCCAGTTCTTGTATGCATAAATAAATCTTAAAAAAGAAAAAGAACAGAAAGTCTTGGACCTTGCAGAGTTTATTTTTTTTTAAGATTTGTTTATTTGGGCATCCCGGTGGCGCAGCGGTCGAGCGCTGGGTTGCGAAGTTGCCCGCAGCCTCTGCAGCACTGGTTCGATCCCCGGCCGCTGGGTGAGGGTCCCACATGGCGTGCAGACCTCTCCTGCTGCGCCTGCTGCTCCCCTCGGCAGTGTACTTTGTCAGTCTGCCTTCTCTACTCCCCGCTCTGGCTCTGGTGAATTCTCTCACCCTCCCGCGCTTGACTGTACCCAGTGCTTGTATAAATAAATAAAAATAAATAAATCTTAAAAAAAAAGATGTATTTGTGCATACAAGAATGGGGGTACAGGCCTCCCCTGTGGCGCAGCGGTTGAGCGCTGGGTTGCAAAGCTGCCCGCGGCCTCTGCGGCGCTGGTTCGATCCCCGGCTGCTCCCCGGCCACCTGAGGAGGGTCCCACATGGCGCGCAGACCTCTCCTGCCGCCCGCTGCTCCCCTCAGCAGTGTACTTAGGTCCTTCTGCCTGCTCTGCTCCCCGCTCTGGCTCTGGTGAGTTCTCTCACCCTCCCGCGCTTCTGACTGTACCCAGTGCTTGTATAAACAAAACAAACGAACAAGCAAATAAATAAATAAACAAAAACATGCCTCTATTAAAAAAAAAAAAAAAAAAGAATGGGGTACAGGCCAGAGGTGCGGGGTGGAGGTGAGAGGATTCACCAGAGACAGAGTGGGCAACAGAGCAGGCTGATCTACTGAAATACACTGCTGAGGGGAGCAGCAGGCGAGACAGGAGAGGTCTGCTGCGCCATGTGGGTAGCTCCCTGGCTGGGGACTGAACTTGTCTGCAGTGGCTGTGGACAGCTTTATAGGTTGCGTCTTAACACCTTGCGCCACCAGGGAGGCCCCTTGTAGAGTTTATATTCCAACAGATGGAGACACAAAACAAACGTGTTAGATGACTGCTATGGAAAGCAAATAAATGGGCACATGCTGCAGGTGGAGGGAGCTCAGAAGTGCCAGGGAGGAGGGAGGATTGACTCTGGGTAGGCCCCATGCAGCGATGTTCAGCAGATTGGGTGGTAAAGGGGGTGACTAGCTGTGGCTACTTCTGGAAGGATGGGCAGAGGCAGAGGGCGCAGGCCCTGTGGAGTAGTGACTTAGCAGTTCCCAGAAGAGCCAGGAGCCAGCGTGGCTGAAGCAGAGGGAGCCGGGCAGTGAGAGGCACCCAGGGTAGCGTAAAATCTGAAAGGCCCGCAGTGCTTGGGCCTGGGCCTGGTGGGACAGGGAGCCGGAGCAGTGAAATAACGTGAGCTGAGTTCTCCCTTAGTCTACATCCTGGGCACGCTGGCTGTGGCCTTGAAACCAGCACTAGCAAGGGGGAGGGGAAAGGGGAGGGCCTGGTCAAAGCACAGACGAGATGGAGGGGAGAGGCGGTCAGGGTCTAGGTACCCTCTGAAGACAGAACGAGGTCGGATGCAGACACTCCAAGATGACACCCCGCGTTTGTGGCCTGGGAATCTGGAAGGATGAGGTTGCCCTCCACCGGGAGGTGGGGTGGGGGCCTCTGAAGGGACGAGCAGCGCAGGCAAGATGGTGCCACAGCCCAGGGGCCAGGTGTGGCAGGCCAGGGAAACGATAATCCCGGCCGCAGCAGCCACCGAGGCCCCTTCAGATGAGAAAAAGAGAAAAGGTCACAAGCGAGTTCTCAGAAGGCAAACTAGGTGGACCAGTGTGAGTCACTGAAGTGAAAATTGAATGGTTTAGAGATATGGCGAAATCTGTCAAGAAATCACTAGAGATTTCCTGGTCCCCAACGATCAGTTACGTCTGCTGTTCTTAGATTCCTTCCAAGAGGAGGAACAGCAGAAGAGGACAGCGGAAACTTCCCCGAAACAAAGTGAAGGTCATTTCAAGACGCAGCCTGCAGACCAGCTGTGGCAGGGAGGGCGGCAGGACAGTTTGCTGAGGAGGCAGACACCCCACCGATGGTTTCCAACCTGTTTTATTTTAGTTTCCAATATTATCAGCAATGATACAGGAGTAACTCAGGCAAGGAGATCACCTTAAATATATCAGAGGAAACTCGCTGTGTCAAGCATGTCTCACACTCCAGCAAAAGAACATAAAACAGAACAAGGTTAGCAGCATGACAATAAAGTGCTTTTTGCTACACTTTCAGAAAGTCTCTCCCGCAGAGGTAGAAAATGAAACTCAAAATTCCATTTACCACCCAGGAGCTACATTTAAAAAATTCATGTTGAGTTATTCTAAATCACTTTTTCTCCAAAAAGCACAAAATTCATCAGGATTGTGTGACACTGATTTCTTCCGACACGCTGGGAGGGGACCATCATCCCGGGGCACCCCCCAGTCCTCCCGGCACCCCGGCCGCAACAGGGCCCTTGACTCGGTGCCACATAACAGGGTAGGCTGAGGGGGTGGGCAGGACAGCGGGGACATGAGGACGCCGCCCCCACGGCCACCCAGCAGCGAGCGGAGCCCGCGGACTTCCATGAGGGTGCCGGATTGTGAGGAGCAGGACAGGGCCCTCCGCGAGTCCCGCCTCTTTCTGGGAGACACCCTGCTGGTTTCTAGTTCTCCTACCTGCGCTGCAGAGGCTACTTGTCCCAGATGGTGAGTGCCCCAGAGACGGGGGCCTGCCCCCACCTCCACCAGTGACAATCCCAAAACTCTACCACAGGGAACATTTCTCCAAGTCTACGCGAGACCACACGCGTCAGCAGGGGGCGCTGGGGAGCGGGGAGGGTGGGAGGATGGGGGTGGGGTGGGGTGGGCAGTGCGGTGGTTTCTCCCCCTCTGGAGCAAGGCAGGAGCGGTGGGGACGTCTCTGAGGGGGCATAACAGGAATGCCACCAAGTTGGGGGGGGGTTGGGGGCTCTCAGACCCTAAGAGCCCCTCATAGTGAGGTCAAGTGGAGGGCCCAGTTCTGCGCTTACTCGGGTCTCTTTCTTCCACCCTCTTCCCTTCCTCTACCTCCTCTGCCGATCCTCACCAAACTGGCTTTCACCAATAATCACACCAGACTGCGAGGGGCCGAGGACTGAAACCAGAACAAGGGGCCTATGCAGAGGAGGCAAGTCCTCGCTGGGTAACAGCCCGCGCCCGGACACCCCTCTCCACACACCACCTCCCCTAAGCTCGCTCACGACTCCAGTCGCCTCTGCAGCACCCGTTCTTCCCCGCGTGGCACAGGGCCCGCCTACCCTGAACCCCAAGCGCACGGAGCCCGCCTACCCTGAACCCCAGGTGCACGGAGCCCCGCCACAAGACCATCACCGCCACCACCGCTGCCGCGCTGCGTCTGAAAGGCCGTCAGTGGGACGAAGCATCAAAGCCAAAGGACCGAACGGCCACACGAGCCACGGGCCTGGGATGCGAGCGGCGTCCGGAACTACTGCTGCTGCGGTCTGGGAAGAAAATCCAGCCGTCCCCTAAGGTGGCTTCTCTGCACGTGTGCACGGGCTGGGTTAGTGTTGCTGGAGGGGGCGTCTGCCTGATACCCAGAAGGGCTCCCCCCTTGACGTCCCGCGATGCTGGGAGACGCCAAGATCTTATCAAGCGGTCAGGTGATTCTCAAATGAACCCGACAGAGCAGAGCAGACCCCACTCCTCGGTACCATGCCGTCTGTAGTTGTCATTTAAAAAACTCTCCTGTAGGGGATGAGCTGGAAGATCTTCCTTCAACAGCAGGCAAAGGTGGGGGAAATAACTAGCGTTTAAGGGTTCGAGACAGTATGAGACAGGGGCACGTTCATTCTCGCCTCGGTGGTGGCAGCAGTGATGGGAGCCACCTGGCCCGGGTGGCGGCCCCCAGAGCAGGCAGCGCCGCCCTCCAGGAAGGCCCCTCCCACGGCCCACTATCTGCTGGGCTGCAGGTACTGGTGCGTGAACATGTTGAGCTCGCTGTCCAACCAACCGGCTTTATTCCTGCAAAGAAATGGCTGCTTTGTAACAGAAACAGCAGCCACAGGGGACACGGCCAGGCGTGCTAGGTGCTGCTCTAGGACACCTGGGCCACGGCCTCACCCTCCAGTAAGACCCACTTTACAGATGAGGACAGTGAGGTCCAGAGGTGAAGCCACTTCCTGGGGGAATCAGTGGGGCAGCAAGACATTGGGTCTCAGGCCCAAATCAGCTTCACTCAGTTTTCCTACCTGCTAAGTGAGGGTCAGGTGCTCACTGTACCCCCATCTCCAAGGCAAAGCTCTGTGCCTAGCACAGGAGTGGGGTGTCCCCAGAAAACAGCTATGGCGGGAGATGGGGCGGGGCACATCTGCGTTGTCAGAGCAGGGAAAGTCCACTGGCTGCTGTGGTGCCCCTGGTGCTGACGTCAGGGGCGGGGGCAGGAAGCAGGGTCCTGTGTGCTGATGCTATCTCTGCCCAACGGGCCGGGGACTTCTGCAGGCATTGACACACGCTCTGGGGCTGGGTCATAAAATCTCACTCCAGATCACAGATGACAAGGAGACACAGACAAGCTTGGAGGTCTGCCCGAGCACGCGTGCCGGGAACGAACCCGGGACCCGAATCCTGAGCTGGACCCTCCCCAGAAGCTGCTGACAGAGGCTCTGAGAGCCAGCGGGGTCGGGGTCCCATCCGGCTCTGCTGGCCACCAGCTCCCTCAGCAGCTTCGCTGTGGGGAAAATGCTGAGGCGCCCCTTCCCTCGGCTCAGGGAGGAATGGAGGAGGGTGTGGGGGGCGAGGCCAGGGTGCCCAGCATGCAGAAGACAAGAAAGGACAGCGAACATGCAGAGGTCAGAGGGCAGTGGAGTCAAGTAGCCAGGATTCTCCTACTCCTGGAGGCACTGTCCATCCCAGCAGACTAAGCCTCCGGAGGCCCCAAATTTCCTTCTCATAAAATGAGATTTGACCTTGAAGGGAGATCAGAGGTACCAGTGAGCTGTAGCTCCATGGCACCATGTGTCTGCAGGGTCCCCTGCAGCACCCCAGGGTAGTGACTGAGTCCTGTTGCGCTGCCAGTGCTGACATCGCCTCTGACCGCAGCAGTCCAGCGGGCTGACACGAGACTGAGCTAAACCCCTGCTAGCGAAGACACAGGCCACTGAGGCCCCGCCAGAGCCCACCGCCCCCAGCCACCGGGGCCAGCCTCACCTGAGCAGCTTTGCTTTGCTCTGAAGTGAATTAAGGACCTCGATTTTCTTGTTCATAGCAGCAATCTCCTGCTCCAGGTTCTCCCGGGTGACATCAACTTGCTGGCACAGGTGAGCAAAGGTCCCGGACAGTTCCCTGTGGGGGACATGGGTCAGCCGGGCCACAGGGCCGTGGTGCAAAAGATCCTCAGCACTTGAACCGACCCAGAGAGGGGCAGCGGCCGGCCCTTGTATCCCTGCTGGTGGCTCTGCCCCACGCCAAGCCTGGCCTGGCAGGTCTTCCCCGCAACCACCAGGCTGTGCACACTGGGCATCATACAGAACAGTGCCAGGCATGGGCACGAGGACCAGGATTAGACTCTGGGGCTGTCGGCTGAGGGAAAGAGCGGCCACTCTTCTCATTGCAATCACCTCATTTTGTAAAAGGAATTGCCAGTTAAAAAAAAAAAAGCCTACCGGGGCCTCCCCTGGTGGCGCAACGGTTGAGCGCTGGGCTGTAAAGCCGCCCGCAGCCTCTGCAGTGCCAGTTCGTTCCCCGGCTGCCGGCGAGGGTCCCACATGGCGCAGAGACCCTTCCTGCCACCCGCTGCTCCCTTCAGCAGTGTATTTCGTCTGTCCACCTGTTCTGTTCCCTGCTCTGGCTCTGGTGAATTCTCTCACCCTCCCATGCTTCTGACTGTACCCAGTGCTTGTATAAACAAACAAACAAATAAATCTTAAAAAAAAAAAAAAAAAAGCCTACCTCAAATGGCTGAAGAGAAAGAAAAGTTAGACACAGAGTGCCCAGCAAAGGGCCAGTCAGGCAGTGGGCTGACACCGTCACCTCCCACTGCCCAGATCAGGCAACCCATTCGCAGGCAACCGCAGACGTGCCAGGAGTAATGAATGAGCCATGGCAGAGAATTTCAAAGCCAAGCCCTGCAAGACAAGCCTCCAGTGCTGTCCGTCGCCTTCCTGGCCTTCCTTCCTCGGGCCCAGAGGCCTGCCCAGCACACAGCTATCCCTGGAGAAATCCCAGCTAACCTGGCCCCAACTGGCACTGCACAACCAAGGCCATGGTCATGATGGTTTCTAGGCCATGTGAGAAGGGACGTGGGGCTGACCCACCCAGAGGAAGGCCTAAACCACAGAAGCCAGCGCTGGCCCCTCAGGGCCAACACAGCCACTCACTGCTGGACTTGGTGGCTGCAGTTGGAGCCCGTGTAGCTGATGATGAGCTGTAGCTTCTCGCTGGCATACTCCACAAATTGGCGCTTGAAGGCCCGTTCCTTGGCCTTGGTGGTCCAGGTCAGACGCTCGTAGACATAGAGGAGGCCGTACAGCCCAAAGGAGAGGGCGATGAGCCGCCAGCCCACTGCCTTCCACACCTGCAGAGACACAGAGGTGAGGGGAGCCGCTTGCCATCGTGCCACCTGTCCGCGTGGCCCTTTCGTTCCAGGGGTGCGGCGCCCCATTTGTTCTACTCAGAACACCTGTTTCAGTGTCTCCTTTGAACCCACTGAGGCCAGAAAGTCAGGGATCTGCTCTAGTTTGGAGCCCAAGTGGGCCACAGGCCCTGACTTGTGAGACGTGGGCATGCAACGCTCTTAGAGAGAAACACTGGCATCTTCTGAAGAACAGCCATTCGGGGATCACGCACAAGCAGAACCCTACATGCTCCTCCTCGGCAGGAGGAGGTTGGTCTGGTTGGCCACACTTCGGGCCGAGGCAGTGTGGTTTTTTCCAGAAAGCACTGAACTCACAGCCAGATATCAAGATGCCTGCCATCTTGGGTGTTGGACCCCCACAAATTTCTATACACCTGTTTCCTCTCCAAACAGGCAAATGGTCTCCACCCAGTTCCCAGGGTTGTCGGGGTAGGACGAGACACCGCACATCATCGCTAGGTGTCCGCGTCTCAGGGAATAACCTGCTGCCAGCTCACCACTTACACGAGACCCAGAGCACCATCTGCAGACCCAGGAGAGGGCCTCAGCTGTGCCCACCCCAGTCGTACGAGCTGAAGAATCCCTGGCCCTTTGGTTAGGTCACATCCTGCCACCTTCACGCACCAAATGGCCGTGACAGAGCAAAGCAGCTCACCTCAAAAAAGTTCAAGGTGTAAGTTATTGTGTCTAGTGTGGCCTGGTCAGGATGTGGGGAGCATCCCAGTTATCAAGAGAGCAATCTCAGGCCTTGGGTAGCAAGGCAAGACAAGGAAACCAGGAGATGGAGAGACAAGGGGTGAAGGCCTGACTTGGCCTCTTTTTGTCTTAAGTCCTTACAAGTTTTGCTCTCCATTCCCTCACTGACTAATGAGAAACTCCTGGTCATGTCCACCCCTCAGAACCCAGGTTTGTCCATTTCTCAGGTCAGTTCCTTACTCATCACCTAGTACAGGACCCACAGGGGAATGACCAGGGCCGTCAAAGCAGACAACGCCAGAGTTCAAATTCTAGTCGGGTGACTTTTGCAAGCTCAACAGAGATGGTCCCCACCGTGGAATGGGAACAGTGCTATCTGGAGGTCAGGTTACATAGATGGATGTCAGAGGACAAAGGCTGCTCCCCAAGAGATCACATGGGTGAGAAAGGTGTCAGTGGATGTGAAGGCCACTGGGAAGGTCTGGGCAAACACAGGGACCCCGCCAGAACTGGGCCCCTCAACCCCAAGCCTCCCCCCGGCAGGGCTTGTCACTGACCACGCCTCCAACAACAAGAATGCCCATGGAGGTCCTGGATGTCAGGGAGGCCAGGCCGGTGACCATGGAAACCATGAGCTCCTCCTGGGTGAGCGAGCCCTGTGGCAGCGGGGGCATGCTGGGGTTGGCAGGTGTCAGAGGCATGGGACGCTGAACCTGTAGAGAAATGGGGGGTGAGGGTGAGGACAACACAGGAAGTCTCACTCCTGCACCCCTCAGTGGCCCTCAGGGCTAGGAATCCTGCAACAGGGACACAGAGAGTGACTCCTCAATTTCCAAAGGGCAAAAAGAGGGGAAAAGAACATTGTGTGCAGCAAAGAACAGAAGCTTCACAACAGCCCCAAAGGTGGGTGCTGGGGGAGACCAAAGGCGTGCGAGTGGCCTGAAGGCTCGGCAGGCCCAGGGCATGGGCCGTGGGCGAGCACCATGCACGCAGCCACACAGTGGCACAGAGATGGGGGTTTTACAGTCTGAATTTTAAAACACTCCCACAGCAGTAGATGGATACACATGCCATATGCCACCTACATTCCCTAGCTACACACTTTAACAAGAACCAGAGAAATATATGGCCGGTACTTGTAATTTCACAAATACTAGTGCTTAGCATGAGGCCAGGCTGCTTTGTGGCCAAAACCGTGGCCATGGTGCACTGCATGTGGCACACAAGCCACAGTGCCGGACATCGGGGAAGCCCTGCAGAAGTGATGTGTCGGAGGCAGGTGAGCTGTGCTCCCCGATGCCGGAGGGCGAGGGAGTCTGCTTGCCTGGTCGTTATAGCCCATCAGGGCCCGGCGGCTGTTCTTGGGGCCCAGGAACCTATTCACCAGCATGGTCCACCCAAGGGAGAAGTGGAACTCGATGTCCTCCTGGAAGTCAGCACACAGCTTGTCACAGTTCAGGTCGTAGCTGAGGGAGAAGCACTGCCGAGGGATCAACACGTCTATCTGACTCCGCACGGCAGCAGGAAGGAGGGGTTTCAAGCCATCTGTCAGGAACGGAACAGGGGACAGCATATCAGCAGCAGGGGACAGCACATCAGCTCAGGCCTGGGTACGGCAGTGCCAGCTCTCCAAATGGGGGCCGCACCAGTTACCGCCAAAGATGCTGGCAGCCCTACCCAGAAGGCAGGTCTGGATGAGAAGGCGCACACTCGGGGCAGGCAGGCAGCTCTTCTCAGGGGTGCACAGGCTGAGGGTCCACAACTGCTGACGCACTGGCCTCATTGGGTTTAAGGAACAGGCCCTATTCTGAGCCCCGCGGTAACCCAAGACAGTTTATGTGTGCAGTGAACCCACGACATACCCCAGAACCTAAAGGTATTGAGTTGACTCAAAAGGTGACAGACAAGGAAAGGTCATTTTTCTGCAGATCGATATGTGGGTAGCCGGGTGTTCAGGTCCCAGCCCACGTGCAGACTGACCTATCATCTCCTGCTGCATGGTCTGCAGGGAGCTGGTGACGGCCGTGGAGCAGCGGTCAGACATGTTTCGGCCCAGTCCTTCCTCTATGTGGCGGTGCAGTTCCTGCAACCAGCATAGAGAGGTCAGAAGCAGCAGCATCCTCCTGAGGGTTTCTTTTACAGAACCAAAGGAAGAGGAGACCCCCGAGGCTGGTCAGCCCGCGTCCCAAGACTGAGGAGTCTCCCCAGCAGCCTAAAGGAATTAAAGGGGGAGGGCGGCCTGCAAGAGCACGTACTGCTCACTGACTCACGTTCTTATAGACCTTGAGGACGACTGGGGAAGGGTGGAAATCCATCTGGTACTCGTCCACCAGCACGGAGAGGCGCCTGATCTCCTCGGCCATCGCCGTGGATACCTGCAGCCGGAGGAAGCGCAGCTGAGTGTCAAGGAGAATGTGGTGCTGCAGCACCGGGGGTCCCTAGCCCCTCTGTACTCTCTCTCCAACCAGTAGCATCCTCGGCTGCTGGAGTGTACGCTTTTGAGGCGGGAGGGATGTCAGAGACTGGCGGATCGAACACTCATCCTAGATGAGGAGGTGGCAGAGGAGGGGGACACGCCCGGCTCACATGTGGACAGTGGAGCCCAGGAGAGCTCTGCCCGCTCCACCAGGCCCATAACTTCATTCTGGAAGGCTGAGGAGGCCCTGAGATGAGGCTGTCTGCTTTTTTACTTTTCCGGCACCGCCAACCCATCTCTGCAGCCACTTCCTCCCTACTCCTCACCTGCCTTTCGACCTCCTCCGTTATCTGTTTAATCCGAAGTTTGTAGTCCTGCGCCAGGAGCTCCAGCTGTTTGTCAATAAACCTCAGTCGCTCTTGCCGCTCTTCACGCATTTCGAGGCAGTAAACCCTGAGAGAAAGCGCTGGTTGGAGGACACGGCTTCCCCTCACCAAGCACACCCATTTCACGACCGCGGTTGCCTGTGAGGAACGGGCAGCGATGCTGGACCAGGAGCTCAAGAATCAAAGGGTGTTTAACATTTTTTCCTGGTGTTTTACTTTTTGGTGTTTTACTTTAACTTTTAAAATAATATAAAGCAAACACGGTTGGTTCTGTGTGGTGGAAACGAGGTGGTCTTACACTGTCTGCTAGACTTTTCCTACATTTTAATTTTTTCCAAAAAAGCAAGTTTTCTTTCTACCTTTAACATGTTTTGCCTCCAATTCTGAGAAGGGCCCTGGGCTGAGGCCTCCAACATGGGCTGTGTGGGCGGCATGTGGGGCCACGACCAGGAAGTAGAGGGGCACCCACAGCCTCCTCAGCAGGTGCCCCACAGTGACCAACCATGGTTTCTGGGAACCCAGACTCACACTTTGGCAGGGCTCCAAGTCCAGCCTGTGCCCAGCCCACGGCTGGCGCCTCCCAGCACTGCCCTCCGCCCGCCGTCTCCGGTCCTTACCGCTGCTCCTGAGCAGCGATGTGCAAAGAGTCCATGATGAGGCGAACTGCCTCGGCTATTTGCTTGGCCCGGACTGTGTGCTGTTCAAATTTGGTCTTGACTGCAGACTGGGAGATGCACTCCTGCAAGGACAAGAGGTGCTGGGAGGCAGAAGCCACCAGAGGTCGTGGCGGGGGAGGGGGCTCTGGCTTTCACTGCCAAGGACGTGCTGGTGAGAGATGGGGAGGCGCAGAACCAGCAGCTTCCAGAATCAATGACTCACCTCAAACCTCCTCTCAAAATTCTGAAACTCAAACATCCTCACTTGAAAGCCTTCGGCAAGAGCGCCCCCTAGGAGAATTACACCACGTTAGTCGGGACACAAGCGGCAGATGAAAATGGTGAAAAAAATTCCCTGTTGCCCAGTCAACTGGCCACTGCTGGGAGCAAAGAGGTTCTCCCTAGAGGCTCATAGCACCACCTCGTTCTCAGAACCACTACCCACTGGCTGACTTAGCATTGGACCAAGTGACTCAAACAGCCAGGAAAAGGAGTAAAGAAGAAGCGAGTTCCCACGTCACCTCCTTCAGGCATGCCCTGGGCCTTCTGGATACGGGCGTTGAGCACCTCCTTAGCAGACACAAAGAAGATGCGGTCTCCGGCCTGGCCTCGATCCACCACGCCCAGCTCATCCACCAAGAAGCTGGTACAACGCTCCATATGCTGCCGCCGCACCTGCAACCCAAGCAGAGGGGTGGATGTGGCCAGGGTGGGGTGCAGGTCAGCCCTCACCGCCTCTTTTCTAAAGAACAGGTAACCTGCACATGGTGCAGTGCTTGCCAGGTACAACACCTCTGTTCTCCAGCCACCAGCACCCAGACCCGAAGTCATGGGGCTTCCCAGGGTACAGCAGGCTACATGTGTTTCATATACATTCAAGCAGAAAGGCCCAAACAGACCCCAAACTGCCTCCTGTTAGGGTCTATGCAGCATTTCACTTTGAGGCCCAAGAGGAAGGAACCTGGGGTTCAAGACCTTAACCTGGGCTCCTCACCCCACAAGCTGAGGGCTCCAGGGCCAGGAAGCACATGGGCACCGGCAGGAAACCCCTTCCAGCTCTGAAGTCCCAGTGCTTCACCCCTAGAACTTAAAAATGCCTATAGCCAGCTGTGGACATGCCCCGTGCCTGCACTTTTCTCAGTGTCAACAGATTTCATCCTTGCTACATCTCTCTCTCACAGGTGAGGAAGTCGAATTTCCAGAAAGGTTAAGGAATTTGCCAGAGCCCCACAGTCCAGCCTGCTGGCTGCACACCTTATCATCCTCTGTCACCACCTGTTACTCCTTTTACTTTCATCTCACATAGAATTTTGACTTGTCAGTTAGACAATTACTCATCAGTCCTCTTTCAACCTTTGCTGGGCCTCTTCCTAAGGGTGAGCCTGTTCTGTGTTGACTTATTTAGGAGGCAAAGTGAGCAGTGGCCCAGGGGATGTAGGGGGAGTTCACACCTGAATGCAAGTTCTCACAGAACGGAGACCTGGGAGAAGCAATGGGAGGAACGCTGCTTTGAAGGAGTTTTTAAAGTCATCAGGCAACACCTCAGGGACCCCAGGGAACACTGGGGACATCTGCAGAGAAATTCACTCCAGCAGAACCGTGTGACACCTCTCTTTGGGGGCATCCCCCCCAATCAGGAGGCACCCACCTCCTCCATGTACTCGGGCTCCGAGGCGGACGCGTCCCAGCGGTTGTTCAGGATGAAGATGTTTGGGCGGGAGAGGCGCTCGCTCACCTTGTGGAAGAACTGCTTTTCCTGTTCAGGGGGAAAGACCATGGTGGAGGTGGGGCCTTGCCAGCCACGGCCCCAGGAGCGTGGAGCACAGTGCAGCGGGGGTTACCGTCTGCATGAGGGTGGACTCCGAATTGGCCACCAGAACAAACACGTCAGCATCCAGGCAAAACTTGTCAATCCAGCTGTCCAGCTCTGTGGTGACATCGATGCCAGGGCTGGGGGCAAGAAGGCAAACACCCAATGGGCGCACACAGCCTGGGCCCTCTCCTCCCAGCTAAGAGCGACCTGAGGCATCAGGCAAAGGTGGGGAGACTTCATGTGACAGGGGACTGAAACCGGGCCTGGCCCGAGATGGGGGGATTTGTGCTTTTTACTTCATAAGTTTCCATCTTGTGTGAAAATGTACTTTTTGCCCCATGCATTTATCTATCACTTTTACAAAAACCTGATCTGTCATTTCACTTTGGGGATATATAACTAGAGGCCAGTTTTGTCTTCCTGTGAGTCCAGTGAGCACGGTAGTATTGTACTCCCTGGTATCACCACCTGTCCACAAAGTAGGGGTAACGTGTTCCTTCAAGAAATAGAATACAGCGTGGACCCACCACCACCAGCTCCCCCTCTGACACTCATGCTAGCACTGGGTTGAGGCTGAGAACTTTCCCAACTTTTCAGTCCCCTCCTATCCCTCTACAGACCATCACTGGGACATCTTCATGCCAACAAAGACGGTGACCAGACCCTGGAGGAAACCCAAGATGCAGGGGGCTTTGCTGGAGCCAGCGTTAAGCAGAGCAACAACAGGGCCCAGGGTGCTGGCCTGGATTATCCAGATATGGAAGGCTGGTGCTTCCCCCTGCCCCCCCACCGTGCGGCACGCCTATGGAGGCGCCGTCCCACTTACCTGTCCATCAGCACAAGATCATCCTTCAGAAGTGGGCACTTGGAGTTGGGCCACATCACGCTCACCAAGCTGCCTGCGTGCAGCTGCTCGTCCTGGTGCAGCGCGTGCGCCAGCTGGTTCACGGTCTGTCGGGAGGAGGGAAGGAAGATGGCGGCTGTGGCATAGGCGCCAGGCAGACTTCCTGTGCTGCCCGCCTGGCACAGGGGCCTGAGCCCACCACCCAACCTGCTGCCCCTTTTCTTTCATGTCTCTCCTGAGAAGAGCTGGGAGCTATTCTAAGAATCAGCTGATCTTTGCTGCTCTTAAGCTTTTTTCTTGAATGTCACCCTATAGCTCGGCATGTTGTGTTCACGCCTCATGAACCGAAATGAGCCTCTGGCCCCCAACAAGAATGCAACCGGCACTCAGAGAAATAAAAATGCGCCCGCCCCCAGCAGGTGTGTCAGAGTCACAGGACTGGGGAATGGCCTCCTGGCAAAAGCCCGAGAAAGAACACCACGGAGGGGCAGGTGAGCGGCTGGCAGCGCACCAGGGCCAGTCTCCTGACTCTGGAGCCCAGGTTCTTCCTCGAGGCGCCCAGCTGCCAACTGCCAGGTTAGAACAGGCTCCCTGCGTTCTAGCGCAGGGCGCTGCCCTCTCCCGAGGCTGTGCCAGTGGCCAGAGCAGGACGGGCCCCCAAGGCGCCCTCACCTTGACGCTCCTCTTCTCCTCCGAGCCGTCCGTGAGGAGGAAGGCCTCGTGGCCGTCTGTGCCCTCCACCCGCAGGAAGCAGTTGGTCGTGTGGCCAATGCCAGAGGGCAGGACCTTGTCCCAGAGCATGGCGTTGATCACAGTGCTCTTCCCGTTGCTCGTCCTGCAGGGACACAATGCCAGTCAGTGGGTGCCGACACCCGAGTTTAGGACTCTCCCCGTGAGGTTCCCGGTCTGGAAGAACAAAGCCTGGCCTTCGGCTGCGACATCTGTGCCCAGACAGGCAGCGTGGGTGCTGCCTTTATGAAAACAGATAGACACCTCCAGCCGGGGCCTGGCACGTGCTCCGGACCATCACTACAAACCGACCTGCTGGGGCTGCCAGCGCACGCGCCCCTCAGTCTTAGTGAGCAGTTACCATCCCTGCCCATGAAGGCAATTTCCCTGCTCTCCTTCCAGCATGCTCCTCTTCACACATGAAGCTCCACCCCGGTGTGACTGCCTGCCACAGGCGCCATCGCTGCAGCATTTCCACCACACCCTCTACTCAGCAGGCTCTCTGTCCTGGCTGCTATGCATAAGCAAGGTGAAAATGAAGCAACGGCAGCCCAGAGAAGCTGAGGCCACACCCGGGGCCACAGGTCACCAGGACAGCTCCGGTCCTTCGGATAACAGCCACACACACAGCTTCCAACCAGTCCAGACACCTGTCTTTGAAGGTGCTGCGATGTATTTGTCTTTCTCTCCAGTCCCTGGCACAGAGTGCCTCAAATCCTTGGAATTTCCTGAGTGGTAGGAGTCTTTTCTCATTCCTAAGGAGTCCCCTTTGAGCACACCTGAGCTGAAGTTAAAGAGGTGACTCAGAGTGGGGCCCCCACACAGCCCAGGGGTGGGACTGATCAGCAGAAAGACCGGTGACTAGGACTGGAACTTTCAGCTCCACTTATCAACCTCTCAGAGAAAAGGAGGGGGCTGCAGGCGAAGGGCCAATAAAACGCTTGAACGTAGATGTAATGAGCTTTAGGGCTGATGAAGGCATCATGTGAAGGAGGGGTGGCACACCCCAGTTCCACGGGGACAGAAGTGCCTGTGCTCAGTACCCTGTTGACCTCACCCTCTTTGTCTGGCGAATCATCTGTGTCCTTTATAACATCCTTTATAATAAACTAGTACGTGAAAGTAAGTATTTCCCTAGCTCTATAAGCCTTTCGAGCAAATTAATTGGGCTCTAGGAGGGGGTCATGCAACCGCTAATTTCTAGCTGGTCATTAGAGAAGCACAGGTGACAACCTGGATGTCTTAGTGGCATCTGAAGTCGGGGTTGAGGCACTGTTTGCAACTGAGTCCTTAACCTGTGGGATCTGAAGCTGTCTCTAGGCAGACAGTGTCAGAATTGAGTTAAATTTGCAGGGAAGTTAAATGCATAGTCGCTGTCTGCCGAGAACAGCTTCATGGTGCGGAAGATGCTCTGGGGGGCCTGCTGGGCCTCGAAGTGAAACAAGAAGCTCTGAGGGCCAGGACTAGAGACATCTCAGAAGAACAGATGGGGGAAAGGCTTATGACGTTGGCTTTGTCAACTGTTTCTTCGTTAAGACACCAAAAGTACAGGCAGCAAAGTTTGAACAGATACAACGGACTCCAGCAAAATGACACACTTCTGTGCATCAAAGGACACACTCAGCAGTCCAAGGCCAAGCAGAGCGGGAGACGATATCCACAAACCACATATCTGATAAGAGGCGAATATCCAGAATCCAGAAAGACCTCCTACAACTCCAAAACACCAAAAAGAGTCGAAAAAGATACACCAATAGTCACCGAGCACAGAAGATACTCAGAAACTCTCACCCCAAGACCACAGACCTCCGCGGGGAGGGCGGATACCAAGGGAACAGAAAGCACGTGCTGGGAGGGCACGGGGCGCTGGAGCCCTGTGCACTGCTGGGCATTGCTACAGACAACGGCACGGTGGGTCCTCAAAAAAAGAAAAAAAGAATTAGCGCGTGTTCCAGTCAATGCTCTGCCGGGTGGAAACCCGCAAACTCTGCCAGCAGGTCTCAAGTAGACACCTGTACACCCGAGTTCACAGCATCGTGCACAACAGCCCAGGGGAGGCAACTCAAGTGCCTGTCTCGGATGAAGGGAGAGAGCGTGGTCTAGATGCACCCCGGAATATGAGTTCATCTTAAAAAGGAAGAAGACTCTGACACCTACACCGTGAACACTGCGGACTTTCTACTTAAAATAAGAGAAACAAGCCAGCCGCAGACACAGACAGCCTGATTCCACTGACAGGGGGAGTCTCGAGACACCAACTCACACAGACAGAAACTAGGATGTGGCTGCCAGGACGGCAGGGAGGAGGAAATGGGGCGCTTTCATTGGGGAAGAGCTTCAGTGTTGCCAGATGAGAAGGTTCTAGAGATGGACGGCAGCACAACGTGAATGCACTCACCACTACTGACCTGGACACTCAGAACTGGCCAAGACGGTAAATTTTATGCTGTGTGTATTTTACAATTAAAAACAAGAAAACAAGCAGGAGTGTGATGAGTTCTAAGGCACAGCAGCTGCTCCCGACTGGGGTGCTTAGACTGTGACCCAGCACTTCCCCTGCCAGCCAGGAAGAGAGATGAGAGATGTGAGGGTCTCAAGACTCACCGGCCAAAAAAAGCCACTTTCATGTGCCGCCGGGCCAGCACCTCGCTGATGCCCCGCACTTTGGAGAGGTAGCCTTTGACATCCACAACCTGCTCTTCGGTGGTAACCGGGTCCAGTTCTGCATTCCTGTAGGTGTCTGGAGGAGACAGAGGAAGTGCGTCACTACGTGGTCAAGGGAGCTGCAGACTCCCCAGTCGGGAAGGCCCGTGCCACCCCTGCCGTCACGGGCTCAGGGCCCAGGTCCACAGCGGTGGCTGCTGCGATGGCTGCTGCAGTGGCTGAGACCACGGCGGGGAGCGAGACGGCTCCAGTGCAAGGAGTGCTGGTCCCACTCCCAAGCTCTGTGACCTCAGGCCAACGAGCCGCTCTGGGTCTTAGTTTCCTCACCCTGAAAACATGGGTGCCTACGTCAAGCAACTACTTTGAGGATAAAATGAATTCAAACACAGCAAGTGCCAAGGATGGCGGCTGGCACGTGGTGAATGGTGAATGGTAACTGCCATTTACTTACATATATTTACTTAACAAATAACAAAGCTACTCAACAAAATACAAAGTTCTCACCACATCCAAGCCCTGATCACTTTTCAAACACAGCCTCATTTAACCCCCACAGTCAGGTCAGAGTGAAAGGCAGAGGCAGGACTTGAACCAGGCAGCCTGGTTCGGGAGCAGCTCTTACCCACACTGGACATTTTCCAAAGACCCTTCCTGGTCAGTCCCAGGCTGCCTCCTGCCTCATAGCCATGTTGCCCCACCCCACACCCGCCACGCCGCCTCATCGATCTGGGTTTCACTCAGTGCTGCCCTCACCGCACCCCCACACGCCAGCTCACTCACTCTTTGCCTCAGGTATAGCCTGGAGTTCACAGCCCCCAGGAAGCTTCCCTGGCCCCCCAACAAGACTCAGGCCCCTTGTCTGTGCTCCTCGGCACTGGACTCACTGAGTAGAAGCCTCTAGCTTGCCATCTGCTTCACAATGCCCCATCCCGGCAGCCAGCAGGTGCGTATCTGCTATGCCAGCGGATACCAGGGCCACTGCCTGGCTGCTCTCCAAGGCTCCTGACCAGCAGATGACAAATTATCCCGGATGGAAGCAACTGAGCAAGACCCTGCCCCTCCCATCTAGGACTTGTACCAGGAAGGCAATAGCTGGCTGCAGAGCAAGTGGGGGTTTGCCTCGCAGCTCACACTTGTGCACAGAACTAAATGTTTGTGTCCCCTCATGTGAGAACTGATGGTATGATGGCACATGAAGGCCTGGGCCTGCCAGGTCCTGACAGCGGAGCCCTCATGGGTGGGATCTGTGCCCCTGCCAGCTCTTGGCCCTGTGGTTACATGTGAGACCACAGGAAAGTCACAGCCTCAGCAGTGCGTTCTCAAGACACCAAATCTGCCAGCACCTTGATCTTGAGCTTGACAGCCTCCATAACTGTGAGCAGTAAAGATGTTGCTTACAAGCTGCCTAGTCTAACTTCGGTTATAGCAGCCCAAGTGGACTGAGACACTTGCGAGCCACTGGGTGGACAGGCCCCAAGCCTGAGTATGCTCCCAAAGCATCCGGGCACCAGTGGCATTTCAACGCCTGCCTGTAAACATCCCCTTCAGCTGGTGCCATGAAAGGAAGGGTCTGAGGCAAGAGGCCTCCCCACATCCACCTGTTGACCCAGCAGCATTCCTCCCTTGCTGGGCACGGGGGCGTGGCCTTCAAATGTACCTTGGAGAGAGCCGGCTCTCGGTCATGTGACCACATTAAAAGAAACAGCCAGTGGGCTGACAAGCTCTCCCAACCTGTCCTTTCAAGAACAATTCCAGGCAGTAACCATCCCCTCCCCTAGCCAGGGCAATCCCAAACAGTTCCTGATGACCCCAGCTCTTTCTCTTTCAGCCCCCCAACAGGAAAGGCCTCCTATTTCACAAGGGAAATCGAAACACCCACCCCACGCCATCACACACCACCTTCACCAAGCACCTGCTCGTCCCTAGCACTATCCGAGTGAGGCAGCATCACGGAGGGCTGGTCTGGGCTCTGGGAGGCACTGGCCTGGTCTGCCCCATCTCCGCCAGCCCAGGGCTGGGCACACCAGTGCAGCTGCTCTGGTCACTGTAAGTGGGTAGTGACCTGGAATGTCAACTCCTATTCCATAACTTTACAATTTGAACTTTCAAATTTAATACCTAGCGAGCACCTCTTCTAGCCGCAAGCACCAGGCCCAGGGCAGGGCAGGGCCTTAGCCTACCTGGCTGCTGTAACAAAATACCAGACTGGGAGCCTTATACACAACAGCAAGGTTCCGCTCAGTTGTGGAGGCCAGAAGTCTGAGGTCAGGGTGCCAGCCTGGCAGGGTGAAGGTCCTCTTCCATGTGTCAGACTTTCCCTTGTAACCTCATATGGCACAAGAGAGCTGGGGAGTTTACGGGATTTTTTTTTCAAAGGCACCGTCTTTCACAAGGGCTTCATCCTCATGACCTAAGCGCCTCCCAAAGACCCCTCATTGTCATGGTGGGCATTAGAATTCAACATGAGAATCTGGGGGGGAACACACACATTCAGACCACAGTGCTGGACAAATGCTCTTCCTTTAAAGGGAGCCCTATCTAGCAGGCCAGCATGCAACACACCAGCAAGCCAAGCCGCTCTAGAGGAGAGAAGTGGGTCCTTGCGCCTGCGCCACTGAACTTCTCAGGTTCTGCAGACTTGAACTGGAAAATCTCTGCTTTTACCTGAGCAGAGGGAGGGAACCAAGGGAGGGAACCAAGGGAGGTTCTTTTACAAGGGAGGGAACCAAGGGCCGATAAGACTCAGTCACTGGGTCTCATTGACCATCTCCAGGGAGCATTCTGGAGAGGGAGCCCGAGAAAGCTCTGAAAGGCACTGAGATCAAGGGGTCCAGACAACCGTTCCCCCTGCTGACAGGGACAAGGCAAGAGGCTGGCTCGAATTAGCAACTAGTGGAAAAGGTGTGGGTGACGTGAGTCGCCTATTCATAGTCCTCTTGCCAATCTAAAAATATCAGAGAGAACACCCTGGTCAGGGGACAACCAACACCCAAGCAGGGCCTGGTGTCAATGGTGGCCAAGAAAAACACCTGCGCTCTGAGTCAGAGGCACCTGGGTACAGCCCAGCAAGAGCCACCTAGTCTTCATGACCAGATGAAATAGAACATGTGGAATCCTTAAGTGAGAGCTTCTTGCTTTTCTGGCCTGACCTCCCTGGAGCCCGGTGCCACAAGATCCCAAGAGCAGGGCTGCACCTCTGAACCCCAAATCCCGCCACTTAAGTATCCAAACTGAGAGGAGGGGGCCTGGCTCAGCAGGTTGCCCGCCTCACCTTCGAGGAAGGCAGCGCTCTCCTGAATGTAGGCCCCGAGCTGCTCAAAAATGCCATTGATCTTCTTCTTGGCGGTGACGAAGTGCTTGAGCGGGGAAGCGTTCACCTCAGCCATGTGTCTCTTATCCTTCTTGACCGCGACGATGGAGTTGCATCGAGAGAAGAGCAGGGACATTGCGCTGCAAGAGAAAACCACGGGATTGAACCCGGGGCACCCAACTGGGTATTGCTGAGTGGTGCGGCAGGGGACTGGGAGCAGCTCTAGGGCCCACCAAGAACACGGGGCCCTCCAGGACTAGATCGGGGGTCATGAGTTAAGATCCAGCATCTCAAGAGCAGGAAGGGCCCTCTGAGAACACAGCCCAGTCACCATCACACAGTGTGGGCACTGAGACACCTGCGCAGGACCCTCAGTCCAGGCCCAGCGCTGGTGGTCCTTTGCCTCATGACAGGGAGGAAGCACCAGGTCACACACAGAGTCTTAGGCAGAAAAGCAGGTCAGAAGCCCCCTTTATTTCCTGCCCATCACCCACCTGAGAAAAGGCAGCAAACAGACGTTCAAGGTCAGTTGACGCGCCCCACCCTCCCCTGCTGTTCCCAGGCCCCAGTGGCCCTAATTCCTAACAGGTTTTGGTTTTTGTTTTAGTACGAAGGGAACAAGGCAGGGTGATCCTCAAGTAAGAGCGGCCTAGTTCTACAATTGACTTAAAAACATGTATTGATCTTTCATTATATACGTGTGCACTATAGCAAACGTGGAAACCATAGGGGAAAAACATCCATAACTCCAAGCTGGGAGCAGCACTGTTAATTCTTTGTTTAGTGCCACGGTCTGCTTTTCCATGGGTGGCTGTCTTACTGTCTCTCAATCACACACACATCTTTGTAGCCAATTTTCTTTCAGCAGCAAGAACACCCTGGGGGCTGTGAGACGGGACTCCAAAGTCCTAGAGATCTTTGATCAAAGTCAAGAGGAAGGCAGACCAGAGAGGGTGGCACCCGGGTGTGGCTGCAAGTCCCTGGTCCCCAGGGTGGACTGCTCTTCAGAGTCCACCCTGGACAGAACTGCTTTCCTTGGCAGGGATCTTAGATCCTGGGAAGTCAAAGGTAAAGCATGTGCCCAGCTGTGTGCCTGGCTCTACCCTCTCCAATACCCAGCAAGTTCCTTCAGCTACTCTTCCATAGACACCCTAACCACAGCACCTTCATCTTACCACCTGCCCTGCTGCTGCTCTCTCTGGGAGATGAGAGGCACAGCTCGCAAGTGAGCACACACAGAAACCTCTGATGGGTGCTGGATAAGTTTCTGTGAAGGAGAAAGAACATCTGGAAAAAGTGCAGTTCCTGAAATCTGGCTCTTCAGAACTGCCCCAAAGAGTAGGCAGAAAAGACAGACCCACAGGGAAACAGGAGTCTACATCTTTTGCCTAACCCTACAAATTATTTTGTGACTTTCAGGCTCTCTGGGGAGATGGGCGACCATATGTCCCTTTGTTCTTTCCTCCTCAGCAAAACGCCACAGCTGTGAGATTGTCTTAGCATGAAGGCCGTGCTTTAATAGGGCCATGCTTAAATAAGAAAAACAGCAGACAGCTGAGATGGGGAACTGGGAAGAAAGTTCCATTTGTTCCTCCAAAGCAGCAAAGGAGTGCACAGAACCAGACTGCCATGGCCCAGCAGGGAAGATCCTCACAGAAAAGAGGGTGCAAGCAGCTGCAAGGGAGCCAGCAACAGGAGGAGGTCTGGGAAGGGCATATGCAGCCCTGCAGATGAGTTTGTGGAATCAGAGCTGGGTTCAAACACGACTGTGCTATTTTGGGGCTGGGCAAACCCCAGCTGATTATTTAACTTCAGAACCTTAGATTCTACGGGTGTACAGGTGTGCCGCTGTGAGAAAACAAAAACCACCACCAGCGGTGTGCTGGAGTACAGCCTGAACTCAAAGGCAGCGTGATGACAGGGCATGAAACAGCAGCAGCAATAAACCACCAGCACCAGACTCTCCCCACGAACACCCAGCCTGCGGGGAAGGGCAGAAGCTACTCTGCTAGCAGGGCCACAGCGCCCAGCCCCAGCACCCCGCCCACTGCCACAGGGGTGGAATAAATAGGTCTGCTCAGGGGTGCGGTCAGCAGCGCCCAGTGCCAGAGGTGACTCGCTTGCAGGTAGCACATTTCGAGAGCAGCTGGGTTTTTGGAGGCAAATGCGTTTAAGTTCTGGGTACTGCAGCCCAAAGGATTTGAAACTAAAGTCAGTGCTCAGTAAGTACAAGATTCAAGGGCATGCACACTAGTAACACCTCAGTGGCTCAAGGTTACAAGGTCTGCCGGAGTCCAGTTGGTCCAGGAGTCCATCTGCTACTAACATTCCCTAGCTGACCACTGCCTGCCCCAAACCTCTTCCCTCTTGTGAGGAACCCACCCCCCAACCAACCCCTCCAAACTGTTTGATCTCTCCGGCCCTGTTTATTCCTGATTTTAGACTGGATTATGCTGTACACGCTGCTTCCAGTCTAGAACCTTCTTTCCTTTTTCACCCACTTGGCACACTCCTATTGTCTTTATAGACCCAACCGCAGTCACCTCCTCCATGAAGTCTTCCCTGATGTCTCCATGGAGCACAACAACACTAGCAAACACCTTGTCTCCCCGTCTAGAGAGCCCATAGCTGCCAGAGCGCTGATCTATTTCCATCTCTACTTTCCTCCTCCACAACCATGAGAGACGTGGTTTGAGTAAGTGAATGTCCCATGGGGAGAATACCATCTTACCCTTTGTGTATGCCCTGGAATACACAAAACTAATTTTTTCTTAAAAAACTGCCTCCCCCCCAGAGCATCAATTTCTCAATAATTTGGAGCTCCGTAAGTCAAGAGAGCTGAACAAACCTTTCAGATTTCAGAGCAAACTGGAGTATGTATGTGGCGAAAAGGACCAACTTGCAAAAAACACAGAAACAAGCCAAGATACAGGGCCCCCGTTTATGTGGGGCTTTGCCTGCTGATTTCAGACTCTTCCAAGGTGGTGGGAGGCCACTGGGCTCCTGTTCCTCCTCTGGAAAGCTCTGCTAGTGCTCACCTCACTGCAGGACTCGCTACAGGTGGGCAGGCAGGGCAGTTCCCCAGCACAACTGGACCAGCACCCAGTTCGAACCCAGCTGTACACTAAGCAGCCTGCTTCAAGCTGTCGTGACTACCACAGAGTGCTCTGGAGGTCACAGTTTCAGAATTTACAGCAGCATTTCCCAAAGGGTGGTCCACAGAGCAAGAGCACCCAGTGCTCTAAGCAACAAGGGCCCCACAGTAGAATCAACTTGTAAAACACCATCTTCAACACCCTCCACTTGCGCACAGTAAATGCTTTGAGAAGAAAAGCCTGTTGCAAAGACACTAGTTTAATGCAGCATTTCACAGATGTATCTGAAGAAACTCTTCTTCTGTGACAGTTTTTAAAATCCTGAGGATCTCACTTAGGGAAAAGCCACTTTCATCCTGGTAATCTTCCACTCCCACCCCTTAAAAGTGCTAGGGATACATTTTTAACAGATACTAACAGCTGAAGCACATCCAGTTGTAAACTGAGACAGCTATTAGCACTCGAAGATTATCAAAAACTTTGCCTCAGCCTAGGCTATTAGTTGAGGAGTATTAGCTGTTTAGGGTGTAGGGATAGCAGTAGCAAAATTCACTGCATGGTGTGTTTGGATCCCAAGCACAGACCCTGAATCCACACCACCTCCTTACCCAGTTTTATGTACAGCAACTCCTAGCAGGGAAAATAAAATGGATCCACGGATCGTCTGCTGGCACAACTGGAACAGAGGAGAAGCTGAGAAATTGAAACAAAAGAGCATATAGGATAAAGGGAGCAGAGCAGACTCTCGGAGGAACTGTGATAAGGAGTCAGCCACTGCAGAGAGGGGGAGGGAGGAGCCGATACAGCAGAGGACAGGCAAGGGAAAGAGAGACCAAATCTTCAGAGAACCCAGGAGAGATCCCGCCACTTTCAGAACTGTCAACCTTTACATAGGATGCAGTGGAGAAATCCTCCGCAGAAGTAGAAAGGAGACACAGTATTTTTTCAACACAGATAGGAAAAACCTCTGACTTTGTGCAAACATGACCATCCCAGAGACTTGCCACAGGACGACCAGCACAGCACGTGCCTTCCACTCTACCCAGATCCAGGATGCCAGCGCGCACAGCCACCACTTACTTTTTAGCTGCTGAGAGACCTCACAGGGTGGTCATCATGAACATGGCTGGAGTCAAAAAGATGAAAAGAATTTGAGTTCTCCTCTGTCCTGGCTCAAGTTGAGGTTGGCTACTGATTGTGTTGACTCCACCAATTCCGACTTATTAGAAAGGAAAAGGGACATGTCAACAGACAGCAAAATAAATAATAATAAACAAACAAATCTGGTGTGCAAAATATATCTAATCAAGTTTAAAGCCAAACAAACATCCCTGCAGGAAACTTAGTCACTGAGGTACAGGAAAGGTATGTGAGGAAGTGTGCTGGAAAAAACACAACACACAGGTGTGGGGCCAGGTGTCGGGGTGCACAAACCCGTGTTCAGCCATGTGCTGGTGAGAAGCAGGGGTCCCCGTAAAAATACCTCTGACAGGTGAGAGGAGAGGTGTGAGTAGAACCAGGGCAAGGACCAGGCTCAAGGACTGCAGAACTGAGCACTGGAAATGGGAAAAAGGCAAGGGAAAAGAAGTGGAACTTGTTGAAGGCCCACATGTATGTAAAGTGCTGGAAAACATCTTAACTGTCAGTTCACTGGGGCAACACAGGCTTGGGAATGCTTAAAAGATTTAGACTGTTAGTTAAGTGACAGGCTGGGAACTGAAACATCATCTCTCCTGACTCCAAAGCTCACTTGTTTTCAATTAAATGGAGCTGTCTTACTCCAGCCTTGGAGGTGGGAAGGGCGATAATCCGAGGCCCTATCTGGGAGGAAGGCAAGAGAGAAGTGAAGTTAAAGAAATAGGGCAGTGAAGGATTACAAGAGAGAGGATGGGCGAGCATCTCAACAGTTAATGATGCAACATCTTCTGTGCGCCTTCTGTGTGTGCTAGGGATAGAGGTTTAAGGGAAGAATAAGAAACAGCCCCAGCCCTCAAGGGCCGTACAGCCCAGCGAGACTGTTAGCGGGTGAGGACCCACAGTCAGGCAACCCATTTCAGCTCGGGGTAACAAGACGACAGTAGGAGGGTGCAAGGAGGTGTCCAAAGTGGGGCGAGATCAGGGCAGGGCGCCGCGATGCTGAATGTGGAAGCCTATGATGTGTTGAGCAGCGGCTGACACTTCCAGAGGACGGGATGAGGAGCGGGAAGGCGGCAGGACGGGATGTGGCCGCGGAGACGGGGCAGGTGGGGAGGACACGGAGCATCGGGGACCCCCCCCCACCCCGGCCCCCAGCCGCAGCCGGATTCCCGCGTCCCGCCCCCTCCTCTCAGGGCCGCGGACGATGGGCGGCGAGGCCCAAACGCGGGGACGCCCGCGTGCCCGGATCCCTAAACCCCAGGGTCCCCGCGCGCCACCGGCCCACGCCAGGCTGCTCGGGATTCGCCGGACCCGGCCGGGCGGATCCCCACCGCCCCGAAGCGCTCGCCCTCTCACCTTCACCTTCCCGGCCTCGCCGCGGCCATCATGCCGCCGACGTCACCAGCGAGCGCCGCCCCGGGGAGCGGCGGGAGAAGGGGGGCGTCTGCGCGCGTCACCGGCCGCTCCGGGCTTACCGCGCCGGCCTCGGAGAGGGAGCGGACTCGGAGCTCAGCCGTTTCGACCCCGCTGCTCCGTATGGGCCCGGGGTCCCGCGGCTCCGCGCCCGGAGAGGCGTGGCCGCGCGCTCGCTCAACGCCGGAGCGTCCCAAGCCGATGACGTACGGTCTCGGGACTCACGCGGCATCATGGGAGCTGTAGTTCCGCCCGGCGCCCGGCGGGGCGGGGTGGGCGGGGCGGGGCGGGGCGGGGCCTCGAGCTGTCAAGGGGCGAAGAAAACAAGGGCGTGGGTTAGCGGTTCCCGCTCTTTCCTTTGTTGCCCTAGAGCCTGACCTCAAGGCCTGTGCCAGCTCTGGAATTCAGGCTGGCGCTTTGTAATTTTGGAGAGCTCCTAAGAGCCGCAGGCCGTTGGGGTGAGGTAACTCTTGCAGAAAGACAGCGAGGAGCGGCTGCCCTTGAACTGACTTTGAGGAAGTAGGAACAGCAACTACGGCCACCCAGCTGGGTATCTCCCCGTACTTCGCTGTATTTAATCTTCACCACAGTCCCAGGAGGCTCAGATGCGAGATTACTGCAGCTCACACAAGGCAGATCGCTGGGCCTCATTAATGTGACAGGCACATACCTGCCGTTTACAGGAGTAAACAAGCTGCTGGGCTCAGCCACAGCACCGGGGCTCAGCCCCTTCGGCTACTGAGGCCCTGAACCTTGGCCAGTGCCAACTGGGATGTGCTGAGGCTTGTACATCAAGGGAATGTGACCCAGTTTTCATTTTGATTTTATATCAATTCTATTTCTATCGATTATTGGGATGTTTGGGGTAAATTAGATGGAACTAAAATATAGTACTAAAGTAAGTCCACCTGTTTCTTTTTGCTGTTTAAGATGGGACTATTGTTAAATAAAAGAAAGGGAGACATAAGTCCAATGGTGTCTTGTGCTCAGCCTCCCACGTCAACAAAATGGGACTTAAGTACCTTAATTGCAGGCTCAGCTTGCCCCAGGAATGTAACCTTTAGCCAGGCAAGCTGGGATTTCCTGGTCAGCACTACAAGGTAACCCACGTGAGAAACCTCTTCCATCCTCCAAAGGCAGGAGAATGAAGTGTCCTGGCCTGAAACAATACTGCCTTCCTTTCCCCTCCCTCCATTCTGTCTATCAAAATTTCTACTCTCTACTTGCTAGATGGGGGCTGTCTGATTCATGAATCAAAGTTCGATCTTCAAATTTAGCAGCTGAATTTTGTTATTTAACAAACAAAAAAAATGTAAACATAAATGTAATGGCTCCTTCCATTACAAAAAAAAAAAAGAAACAGCAGGCCCAAATGGAGTGATGTATGCCAAGTCCCATCAAGACTAATACCTCACCTAGTTGCAGTTCACCATCTCCCAAAAATGGAATTTTTGGTCAGCACTGGTGAGGTCATCTGCATGACAAGACCCTTCCTCTCTGAAGGGAAGGTGACTTTTTTTTTTTTCCTTGCCCACCCTCTTTTATAAATTTTATACAAAACCTCTCTGTTTAGTATAATTCCTTGCCGCACCAACCTACTTGCATTGTGGCATGCTGCCCTATTAAGAATAATTTAATAAAATAAATTAGATCTCCAAGTTTATTTGGATAAATTTCTAAATAGCTGTGCTAATGTGGGTTATAATAAGAAACATTTGGTTCACTGTTCCTTCACACCGTTCCTGGCACATAGCTCCCAAGTCCCCTGTGCTTTCTTAGAGAACAGTCCTTGGGTATTTTTTAATATTGAGCTTTGTCCTTAGTTCCTGAAATAGCTTCAGAGCTATTTAGATAAAGGTGAAATGGTTACCTTCCATTACTCATAAAAAGCCCTTTTGAACAACACCTGACTGATGTGTAAATGAGGTGACTTTTGGAAAGCCCCTAGAAAGGGCTCTTTGCCAGGGAAATGAGCCTTGTGATGGGAGGGTTAGAACAGACATTTGGGGTAGGTCACGGTAGGGGACAGGGGGTGTACTGTGCATTGTAGAAATCGACTTGCTCACTAATAGCCCAAGATTTGTTCTATCATGGCCTAATAATGGGACCTCCCTCAAAGGCCCTGAAATAAACAGCTTGGAGCACCTCTGGGTTGGGGAGCAAGTGGGCGAGAGGAAAAGGTGGTACATCCAGAGAGCGCAGGGGAGATCCAGCCCCTTCCCACATACCTGCCCTCTGCATCTCTTCCACCTGCTGTTCCTGAGTTGTATCCTCTTACATAATCAGCCCCACCCCAACCCCTCCACCCCCGCTGTAAATTAACCCAACCCAAGGAGGAGGGCATGGGAATCTCCCATTTATTACCTGCAGGGCAGAAGGTTTTGAGGTGGGGACAGTCATGTGAGACTGAGCCCTTACTATGGAATGTGATGCTACCTGCAGGCAGAGTGTCAGAATTGAGTTAAATTGGTAAGATACCTTTTCAACTTCCTCTGAGAATTGGAGAACAGCTTGGTGTGGGAAGAACCCCCACGCCTTTGGTGATCAGGAATGTCAGAAGTGGCGTGTAGTATGGAGCATCAAGGAAAACCATGCAGTTGACACTCACAGGCCTCACGTTTCACCTGAACAGCACAGCTCCATAACATGGGAGCATCTTGCCACAAATACCTGAAGAGGGGAATAGGTGCCTGCTGGGCTGACCAGTTTATCAGAGGCTGGTCCAAGGGAGGGGTCCTACCTGCCCTGCCCCGAGTGAACTGGTGGCCTGAGAGGCTGACTCTGGACTGTGGGTCACACCCAGACGCTGCCCAGGGTGTGGCTCGGCCCTGGTATGACACACACTGGGGGCTGTGACTCACTGTCTGATTGTCTCAGCCAAGCTCCTGGCCTCCCTCAGGGGACTGTTAAGTCTCCCAGGGCAGGCATGCAGTTCCTTGTCCTCCTCTGAATTCCATTTCCTTTCCCTTCTTTGACAATCAAAGACCAAGTCAGGGGCCTCCTGGGTAGCGCAAGGGGTTAAGTCTCAGCACTGTGAAGCTATCTGCAGACACTGCAGCATGAGTTTGAACCCCCAGCCAGGAAGGTGACTCACTTGGTGCAGCAGACCCCTCCTGTCTCACTGCTGCTCCCCTCAGCAGGGTGTTTCAGTAGATCCACCTGTTCTGTTCCCCACTCTGTCTCTGGGGAATCTTCTTACCCTCCTGCACCTCTGGCCTATACCCCAGCTCTTGTATGCATAAAATAAATAAATCTTTTTTTTTAAAGGAATCTTTTTTTTTTTTAAGATTTATTTATTTATACAAGCACTGGGTACAGTCAGAAGCATGGGAGGGTGAGAGAATTCACCAGAGGCAGAGCAGGGAACAGAACAGGCAGAAAGACCGAAGTACACTGCTGAGGGGAGCAGCGGGCGGCAGGAGAGGTCTGCGCGCCATGTGGGGCCCTCGCCCGGCGGCCGGGGATCAAACCAGCACTGCAGAGGCTGCGGGCATCTTCGCAGCCCAGCTCTCAACCGCTGCGCCACCAGGGGAGGCCCAAAATAAATAAATTGAAAAAAAAAAAAGATCAAGTCAGAGACCTAGAGGTGCTCCCTCCTCCCAGTTCTGGCCCAGGCCCTGCTTACTGCCCACACTGCAGGAGCCTGCATCCACCCCCAGCCCTCTGGTCTTGCTCTCCCAGCACCAGCTTTTTCTCTCTGAAGCAGCCTCCAGCCAAGAGGCCCTGATGATGAGATCCCCCCACTACATACAGTTGACTGTTTCTGGGAAGGGGTGCAGAGCAGGGTTGGGGTGCGATGGCAGACCTTCTTTCTATATTCCCAGTTTCTGTTTTGACTTTTTCCTGGCAGGCAGGAATTGCATTAGATAGCAGAAAAAGGTGGCAGTTAAAATAACCCTGTTGGGCCTCCCCGGTGGCGCAGCGGGTTGAGCAAGGCGGTGTGAAGCTATCCGCAGCCTCTGCAGCACGGGTTCAATTCCCGGCCAGGGGGAAACCCACATGGCACAGCAGACCTCTCCTGCCTTGCCTGCTGCTCCCCTCAGCAGTGTCTTCTTCAGTCCATCTGTCTGCTCTGCTCCCCGCTCTGTCTCTGGTGAATTCTCTCACCCTCCCACACCTCTCACTGTACCCCAGTTCTTGTATAAATAAATCTTTAAAAATTATTAAAAAAATAAATAACCCTAAGTTGCTCACACATATACGCACCCATCTGCTCAGAAAGAGGTTAGGTGTGGTGGCTTCTGGAGAGAACTGGGCAGCCAGGGTGACAGATGGGAAAAGGATTAACATTTGTGCTGACTGTAAACCAGTTCAAAAAAACCCCTATAAAATTATCTTTAAAATGCTACCCGCCCCCCTCCACCCCGAATAACCCCAATTGCCTCCTAGATATGCCATCTCTCTTTAGCCTGGAAGATGAGCCTTTACAATCTGACCCTGTGGCCCTGTTAGGGGGAAAGATGTCCTAAAGCTGATTCCATACAGGCTTTGTGGACTCTACCCCCACCCCAGGCCAAAGCCATCAGGACATTGGGAAAGACAAATCCCGTCACCACCAAAGGGAAGGTGGCTGGGATCTGAGGGTGGGGTTAAGCAGCCAGGTTGGGTATAAAAACCAGACACGTGGGCCTTGGGGTCTCTCTCTGTTCTTGGCTTCACAGCTCTTGGTTCACTGCCAGTTCTCAGCGTGCCATTGGGATTCCAGGTGGGCGGAACAGGTAGGACACATTTAAGACTCTCTCCCACTTTTCTCCCTGAGCTGTACATGTACTCATTTCCCCTTCCCTTGTAAATAAACCTTTTATGAACCTTCTGTGTGTGCCTGCAGTGGAGTATTAAGTCCCTTTTAAGCGTGCGGGTGAGGACCCACAGTCGAGCAACCCGTTTTATATTGGGGCTGCCCTGCCCTGTTGCATAACAACCCCTGCTCACCCCAGGTGGCCTGTTCTCTCTCACCCTGCCTGGGCCTTGCTATGCCCCCTTTAAGCCCGAGCTTAAGGGGCATCCACAATCAGGCTTCTCAGGGTCCACACTAATGACATCTGGGGTAGGTCACTGTAGGGGAGAGTGGGTGTCCTGTGCATTGTAGCGCATTTAGAACCACCCCTGGCATCTACACCCCGGGTGCCAGGAGCATCCCAGGCCCCCTCCCCCCCCCATTGTGACAATGCCCACAGACACACCAAAAGTCCCCAGGGTCACAATCCCCCTCCACTGAGTAGCACAAGCCAGCAGTCCCTTCATTTCCAGGATGGTCCTTACAGCCACTGTGTGTGGCATTTGTCACACTGGGCCATGTGAGCTGCGTGCGGTTCTTTCTATCCCTACTGTTGACTACAGGGCGCCCTAGGGACAGAGACCAGGTTTTTGGTTGAGCTATTCCCTACCCCTACAGCTCACTTGCTGTGTGTAGACAAAGTACTTGGCCTCTCAGCCTGTCTCCTCAGCTCTAAAAGGGAAGAACCACCCCTCCCCCAGAGCATTGCATCCCTTGTCATGCACCACAGCCAGCCTACAGCAAGGGAGGGGCCCATGTTAGCTCTTGCTAATAACAAATACCCAGAGTCTTTCCAGGGCACCGCAGGAGCCACCAGAAGTTGCCTGATCTCCCAAGTTCATATCTGCAGGAAGGACAGTCTGCAAAGGTTTCGGAGAGAAGGTGACACCTGGTGCAGGTATTGACATGAAGCAGCTTGGCCCAGGCAGCCAGGTGCTGGCTCACGGTGAGGACGTACAAGACATGTAAGTGCCATGGAGACCACCTGTGACTGGGCTAAGACACCCCGAGTCACCAAATCTGCTGAAACAGCCTCGTTTGCCCATCACGGGATCTTACAACTCTCGCTGCAGAGACGGCCCCACCCAGGCCACCTCCCACTCGGTGGTTTCAACAACCTTTAATAGAAACTTCCCTGTTTCTGACTGTCCCTCTCTCCGGCGGCATCCGGGACAGGGTGACACAGCACAGTGTGTGGACATGTCAGTCCCCTCCCCCCAGAAAGGGTCAAGTAGAGGATGCAACTGTGGCAGTGATGCTGTTCCTGTCTCCAGGAGGTTTTCTGAGTCACTGTCTCCAGGGGGACGTTCTGCTCCCACAACAGAAGCCACGGAGAAGGGCCTTCACCATTCCCAGGACCAGGGAGGGGACTTGAGTCTGACCCAGTTCTGTGTCCACCCTGACCTTGCAGCAGCAGGCCATGGGGCTGCAGCTCTGCCTGGGGATGCTCGGGAGGAGGCTGCTCGCCTCTGGGGTCTCTCTGGGGTTCCTGTTGCAGAAACCCTGCTCTGTTCAAGCCTCAGCCCAGACAAGACGTGAAGGAGGGTGGCTGGGTCCCCAGCAAACTGGGTGAGAAGACGAGCTGCTACAAAGCAGTGAAAGTGAACACTGTGTCCTGGGCTTGTCCAGAGCACCAGGAAGGCCCCAGTTGAGGAGGTGGGCCGGTCTCTGGCTTGCGGCCGGCTGGGTGTGGACTCTCCAGGGCGACAGCGACTCTAAGAGCAGTGAGAGGTCAAGAGCCTGGAGACAGCTGCACGGGGTTCCCTAGGACCCTGAACCCCAGAGGCTGCTGGGCAGTGGTTGTTGGCAGAGAGGAAAGGTCCGAGGTGGCTGGGCCTGGCCAATTAGGGATCGACGAAGGAGACGGCGATGTAGCGGGTGCCCTTGGTGGTGGGGAGCCCCTCGTGGTAGTGCGTGAGTCGTCCGGGATGCATGAGGGTCCATCCCTTTCGTGGGGCACGTATGGAGCAGTTGTAGCGCAGGAACCGACAGCCCCCACCCTGGGAGACAGGAAGTGTCAAGTCCCCCGCCAGCAAAGGGGGCATCCCCCACTGCCACCCATGCTCTCCTCCAAGCCCCCCAAACCAAGCAACCCTCAGCACAGCCCACCTGGGAGGCTTGTGGGGTGACAGCCAGAAGCTGCCCAACATCGACACTCAGCAACACTGAGAGATCAAGAGCCTTGGCGCCCAGGGCGCCCTGGGCAAATGTCAGCTACATGGACCCTTCACTAACTTGATGACCAGCCCGAACCTCAGTTTCCCCTTCTGGAAAAGGAGCATTAAATGCACAGGGTGAGAATTAAATGAGATGATACAAGTAAGTGCTTAGGGCCAGGTCTCTTGGCCTCAGCACTATGGGCATTTTTAGCCTGATGATTTTTTACATTGCGGCAAAATGCACATATCAGGAATTCTACCTGCGTAACTGTAAGGGCGCGGGCCAGAGGTGTGAAGTGCATTCAGGCTGTCGAGCAGGTAGGGATGGGCCTCGTGGACCCCTGCATCACCACCACGGGGCAGACAATACTCGTCACGGGGAGCTGTCCCCGGCCTCCGTCCACTAGATGCCAGTGGCATCCTCTCAGTTGGGGCAACCAAAAATGTTTTCAGATATAGCCAGAATCACCCAAAAAGCAAAACTGCCCCTAAGGGCCCCTGGGATATTGTAAGCTCTTCATTTTCAGCTTCATTTATAGCACCTGGCAAAGTTATGTCCCAAAAATCTCTTTAAAAATTGTAGCTTAAGGAGTAGATGAGTGAATGCCCAGCTGCCCAGCTGGGCACACCAGAGGCTTCCCTCGGAACCCTGAGGCTCCCAGAGCTGCTCCCTCCCCACCCTTGCATCTTCCTGCTTGAGGCCTCTCTAGCTTCATGCCTGGGCCCAGACCCTGCCAACCCTGAACCTGCTGCTCCCAAAGCAGCCATCTTCCAAGAATGAGGAAAACCCCACACTCCTTATTGCTACCAGCTGTCATTCCTGTGTGCTTACTAGGGGGAAGCCATTACCTGGACGATCTCATTTAACTCTCACAAGTTCTGGAAGACACGCTAAGTTTTCCATTAAGACTCGAGGAAATGGAGAGGCTGAGAAATGTGCCTGAGGCCACAGAGCTGAGAAAGGGAGAGACAGACTGACCCCAACCCTCTGATGCACCGACTCTGCTGTCTCCAGAGCCCTCTCCCTGCTGACAAACTATGCCCTGGACCCACCACTTCCAGGAAGGACCTGGCACCTTTCTGCTACTCCGGTGCCCTCTGCCTCAACCACACAGAAAACTGCTCACCAGCCAGCCCCCTGGCCGAGGGGTGCCCTGCTCACCTCGTAATCCACCCCAACTCGGTTCAGGGCGATGTTGATGGTGAAGGTGGAGGCATCGTGATGTGGCATCAGCGAGGGCTGTTCGTCAGGCTTGTAGCGGACAACAAAGGCCAGGTCAAACTGGGCCTGTGCCCCGAGAGAGAAAAGAGATGGGGGTCAAAGAGAGGCCTCCGGGCCAAGGAAAGCAGGGGGTGCAGAGCAGCCCCCCGTCGGGTCTGCTGTCAGCTCTCTGAGAGCAGGTGTGTTCATACTGTGCCCTCCAGTGCCTAGAACAGTGGCTGGCACAGAAAAGGTTCTTGGGGTGGGGGGGGGCGGAATATGGGGTGGGAGGGAGGAAGAGAGGAACAGTGGGGAGAAGGGAGGAGCAGGATGGCGCGGGGGAGGGAGGGAGGATGGCAGATGCTAATCCCCACAGCTCTTTCTGGCAACAATCCAGGCGGTGATTCCTTGGGAGCAGTGCCCAGGCACACGTGGAGAAACCACCGGAACCGAAAAGTGACTGCGTGAGGCCGGGAGGGCAAAGTCCAAGACAGTCAACAGAAAAATGAGTGATGGAGCCAGAGGAACCGAGGGAAGGAATGGGCACGCTGGGCAGGTATTGGGGGCCTATTCAGTGGGCAGGATTTAAAGACAAAGGGGTGAGGCTAGAGGAAAGAGGCAAGGAGTCCCCCCAGACCTTAGACCCCACGGGAGACGTCATTCCTACTCGTGGACCAACTGTCAAGGCCAGGAAGGCATCTCCCTCATCCTCCCCAGGATGCCCACCCTGGTGTAGTAGCCGGGGTAGAGCTTCTCCGTCATCGGGGCAATGTACTCCACCAAGAACTTGTGCCATTCGCGCTCAAAGCTGATCTGGTTCATGTGGATGTCGATGGTCGGCACATTCTCATAGCCCCCCTGGATGCGGTTGTCCTGCAAGTGACCACAGGGGTGGTGGGCAGAGTTCTACAGTCAGGCCCCAGATTCCCAGCCCCTGTCTCCACGCCTCTCCCCCTGGCCTGTGCATGCGACAGGGTGAGACTGCAGGTTTTGCAGATGTAGCGAAGTAACTAGTGAGTTGACTCTGGGTTAATCCAAAGGGAGATGGTTCTGGGTGAGCCTGGACCCCTTTAAAGCTGGATCTGGAAAAAGACTCCACCTCCCTCTGGCCTGGAAGAAGCAAGCTGCCTTCAATTCTAAGCGGCCAGGAAATGAACTTTGCCACATGAACTTGAACCAGAACGCTGAGCTTCAGCTGAGATCCCCACCCCAGCAGACACATCCAAGGCAGCTTCTGAGACAGAGCAGAGCACCCCAGCTGGCCACACTTGGACTCCTGACCACAGACACTGGGGGATCTTATGTGGGTGTTGTTTTAAATGTGGGGTCATTCTGTTACACACCATAGAAAACTAATGCATAGGATCGGCTCCAGCATGGGGGCACAAGGATGGCCAGACCCCAGCCAACGACATGGGCTACGCCATTGCTGCATCCTGAGATTAGCTTCGGTCAGCAAAGTATGTAGATGAGGCCACTCACCAGTACCACAGGTAAGTCCAGCTGCCAGGTCAAGGTTAGATGGCTTGAGGCACACAGACCCAAGGACTCATGGGCCTTCAAAAATGGTGCCTGAATTTCCCAAAGTGAGTGCAGGTGTAGGATTCCTCCTCCAGCCTCTCCCTTCCTTCCTGCCACCTGCTCTGCTGTCAGGTGAACTGGGCACTGACATTGCTTCTGGATGCTTCTTCATCCCACCCTTGCTCATCCCCCCATTCCACACCCAATCTGGGGAAGAAAGGTAAATCCTTCGAATAACAAGCCAGGGACTGAACGCCGGACACCTGCATGTTAAGGTCACTCAACTCACCGGGAAGCAAAGCAGCCCAGGGATGAAGGCGCCAGTCCGGTTTCTCAACCCCTCTACTTCTAAGGGCCCGTGGGCACCCTTGTCAGCACCCCACCTAAAGAGTCCTGCTTGCCAGAAAAGAGCCCAGAAAGCGGGCATGGTGGAGGGCCAGCCGCACCCCAAGTCCCACCTTGTTGTCCCCCAGAGACCACTGGCCGTAGTGTTCCATCTCCTCCACCAGCTCGTCACAGGCCGTGTCTGTGAAGATGGGGAACCAGTAGACATCCGGGCAAGGCTGGGGGGAGGGCAGGAACTCAGTCACAGGGGTCCAGGGAGTCCCCACCTCATCCTCCCCTGCCCCCCAGCCTTCGAGGACTGGCTACAGATGGGGTCCTCATGTGTCTGTGCCCACCCCACAGCCTAGTTTGTGGGCCCTCCTGGAGGCCTCTGGAGCAGAGGTCTGGCTGATGCTAGATAGACTGAGTGAGCTGCTAGAGGGAGAAGGAAGCATAGAGCTGGCCCTTCCAGCGGTGGTTACAGGGCTGCCATGCCAGGAAGGCATGTGGGCATCGAGGGCGCAGAGGCCCACGGGCTGTAGGGGAAGCAGAGACCCTCCTGCTCTTTGCTTCTAACCCAGGGGCCACAGTTCAGTTGAAACCACACATTCTATCTCCTGCCTGGACCTGGGAAGAAGCCTCAGGCCCAGGCCCCAGGTCCTAGTGGAAAGTACCAAGGGGAAGGCGGGGTCATCCCGCTGCCCATTCCCACCCAAGCACTGCCAGCACACAGAAACATGCCGCCCCTCCTGCCCTCCACAGCTAGTTTTATTCCCCTGGCACCTGGCCCTGCAGCCGGTGCGGGGGTGGATCAGGTGGCTTTGTTCCCAGAGGGCACCCGGTCCTTACCATCTCCACCAGCTTCCCTGCCAGGGCCTTGGTGTAGTTCTCATGGATGTACTTCTCCTTCCAGTCCTGTGGGGAGAGGGAGGTGGGCAGGGTCCTCAGGCTTGACCGGGTCAGCTGGGGCTCACCCCTTGCTCAACTCCACAGACTGCTCCAAGAAGGGGTTCCTCCCCACAGGCCCCGCACAGTGGTAAAAGGTGTGAGGCCCCAAAGGTTGAGAGGCTCAAGACACAGCCATGGGCCACAAACCCTGGCCTGGCTCCTCCTCCACTAGATGGTGTTGTCTCTCTGACCCTAACCCCAGCCTCACCGGGACCCAGCCCTAACCTCTCCTTACCGAATCCTGCATGACAAGCCCCCTGGGCCTCAGGGCGGCAGGTGTCCTGTGGGATCCCAGCCATTCCTATCCCTGCCCACCCACCAGGGTCTCACCTCGGGGTTGCTGAACACTTCCCAGAGGTCGTTGTGGAGGTGGGTGGTCTGGTAGTTGTCCAGGGAAAGCAGGTGGCCAAAGGTATGCCGGTTGGTCAGGAACATGAACACATCCTGGGAGAGCAAGGCAGGATAGAAGAGACCTGTTCCCCTCCCCTCCATACCCCCACATTGGGGGCCTGGCTCCAGCCTCCTCTGTCCCCAAAGTTCGAGTTCACAAGACCAGGGACGGATCTCTCCACTCCCCTGTACAGTCTAGTACTGGGATGCAATCCAGGACTGCTTCCTGGAGGATGGAGCAGGGCATGAAAGAATGAAGGCTTAAAAGACAAAGCTGCTGTTCTGACCCTGAAGTTTGGGGCATGGGAGAAATATTACCATGCTGTCCTATTTTTGAAAATAATCACAAAAAGATAGGGGGTGCCATGGGGAGACAGGGTAAGGATGTCTCCTGGGCATATTACATTCAGATGGAAAGTTCATTGAAAACTGGATCAGCTAAAATGATCCCACAGACCCCTGAGGACCGGCCCCCTCGTCCAGTGCCCCTTGGGTCCCACCTGGCCCTGGCGATTTTTGAGCAAACCCACTGGGATCCCAGAAGCTCCAGGCCCAATGGTGACAGGCGGCCCCCAATGCCAGCCCTGGGCTTCCTCTGACTGCCCAGCCCTGCTGACCTGCTGCCGAATGTTGGCGCAGAAGGACATGTCGGGGTCCAGTTTGCTGTGGTGGAACAGGTCCACCTGCTGCAGCTCAGCCCGCAGGGCACTGCCCTTGATCAAATAGACGTTTGAGATGTAGGGCACATTCCAGACACCACTGAGGGAGAGAGAAGATGGAAGGGTCATGCACTGGCATGAGGGGTCATGGGCTGGGGGTCTGGAGTCAGATAGAGAGGGGGGTCACAAGCTGGAAGGGCATGATAGTGCTAATTGCCCCCGCCCCCAATGACATGGGCTCAGGTAATTGTGAGGAAATTCTGCATGTCTGACCTTGGTCTTTCTTGCTTCAGGTTAGGCAGGAAATTGAGGACAACAGCACAGGAATTTGGAGGAGGGAGTTGCAAGGCAGGAGGGAGACAGATGAGGGTGCCCACCCCGGTACTCACATGCGCCGCCCCTGCACAATGTCCACATAGTCCTCAGAGCGGGCGTAGTAGCCATCGGCACTCAGTGCCCCCCAGAAGTTCGACCACAGCCTCCCGTGGCGGGTCATCAGCGGGGCAATGACATTCCTGCAGAAGGGAGCACCTCAGTGGGAGCCCTGCCTGTTGGGAGTCGGGAGAGACCTAACTAGGTAGGGCAAGGGGAGGGTATTATCTTTCAGCCTGCATGCAGGGCAATCCTGGCACCTTGCTGGCCAGGCTGGAGGGGGACTGGCCCATGTGGTATCATGCAGGGTAGGGGGACCTACCCCACAGGGTAGCCAGGGAGTGGCAGGAGGAAGGTGGGACCATCCCACACCCAGACTAGGTTGCCAGGCTGGGCAAGCCCAGGTGGAAGAGGAGGCAGAGGCGGAGCATCAGGCAGAGGAGGGGCTCCCACCCTGGGCCAGCCCACCCACAGCCTCACTTGTTCTGCTCGATCAGCAGTCTCAGGGCTTTGGGCTCGGTCAAGGCCACATCAGCATCCACGCCGAAATAGTAGGTGCAGCCACGGTCCTGTCGGCACAAGTCTCTGCAGAAGAAGGGGTGTGGTGGGGGGAGGGGAGCGGATGCAGGGTTAGAAGGGCTGGGCTCTGATGTTAGAATCCCCACCCAGGACCCCGCTGATACCCCAGCAGCTGCCCTCTGCACTCCCACCTACCCCTGTTATCACCAGGTCTTTATAGAGGCCAGGTGAGCCCTGGGTGGGTTGGCCCAGCAGCCTCCAAGGTCCCTCCTAACTGCAAGACCCAAACCCCAGGTTACAGGGTGAGCTCTCAAAGCCCACAGGGCCCAGGAACCCCGGTGCTGGGGGATAGCGTGGCCCACAGACAGGTTCCTAGACTGCCTGGCACTGGGATTAAGCTGGTTCTGCCTTTCCGGAGCGGGTTTGGTAACTTGTGCCAGAGCCTCAAAGATGTATTTCATTGCTCTGATCCAAATTCAGCCCACTGCCTGCTTTCAGATGGCTCTGGAGCTAAGGATGGTTTTATATTTTTAAATGGCTGGGGAATTAAAAAAAAAAAACATGTGCAAATTATATGAAATTCAGATTTGGCCGTCCATAAACAGTTTTCACTGGTGCTGCTGCAGCAGAGCTGAGAGGGAATCAGCAGAGGTATTAGCCAGTCCCGGAGAGAGGCGTGCTGACTTCCGCCTGGGTGGTCTCACACTACAAGCTGCTTGTTTGTTTTAATAATAAAGGGGGGGGGTAATCGATATGTCTCCAAATCTCATGTGTATCTACTTCTGGTCCATCTGATTTGCCATCTGAACCCCAGGGGGCTGCTGAGCCCCTCCCCACCTCCAGCTCCTAGGTTACAGGACAGGGAGGGTTCCCCATTTGACAGATGGGGACACTGAGGCCCAGAGGAACTTGCCGGGGACCCCACAGAATGTCTGAACTTCGCCTGGTGCTCCTAATACCACGGCCTCTCTGCTAGCAACAGAGAAAGCCGCAGCCCCCACTGGTCCCCAACTCACATGCCCATGTTCCTGGCATCAGCGTTCGACACCCGCACCTCAGGGCCCACCAGTTTCACAGAGCGGTACTGGTCACCGTGCTCTGCCAGGAAGTCCTCCACCTGGGCCTTGTGGTGTTGTTCCTGGGGGGCAGAGGGCGGGGGCACGGTGCTGAGGATGGGGGTACTGGTGCCACCCCATGGACACCTCTGCTACTGCAGGCCGCTCCCCTTCGTTGCTGGCACAACCTGGCTATTATTGCTTTCCTATCTCCAGACCTCTGCCCATGCCAGACCTCAGGCCTGGAGCGCCCCCCTCTGGCCATCATGTGACTGTTCCCCTGGCCAGGTCAGCCCCGCAGGCCTCTCAGAGCTTCTGTCACCAAGACAGCAGGCCCCGCACACAGGATTATGGATTTGCTGGACTGGGCGTGGCCCAGGGGCTGCTTTGTCACCGAACATTCCAGGTGATCCTTGGAAACAATGAAAAACAATAGTCCACATCCAGTACCTGCCTGCAGAAGAGGAAAGGGGAGGTCTGCAAATGAAATCAGGGTCCTCAGCTAATCTCCCAGCTCTACCGGGATTAGCCCCATGGCCCTTGAGCCAGGGCCCTCACCCGCCTCAGCTTCAATTCTCCCCCTTGTAAGGCAGGAGAGGACCATGCCTCCCTCACAGGTCACTGCCAAGAGCCGAAAAGTCAAATGGAGCACACAGTAGGTCCTCCAACACTGCCTGGGACGTTTTCTTTTTCTGCACAAAGCCACAGTTCATGAGTGTGCTGTCCAATGTCCCCAGGGGAGCTGCAAGCCTCCCCAGGGGCAAGGCCTAGGGTCTTCTCCTATCTCCCTGTAGCGTCTGCACAGCTGAGAGAATGGATGTCTGTGACACAGGCAGAGACAGAGCCAACGGGTGCAGACAGTTGGTGGGGAGGTCCCCAGGAGAGGAGGAAGCTGAGAAGACTTTAAATAAAACAAAGAACCTGGACGGAGAGGCAGAATCTGGAATGTATCTGGCCTCCCAGGTGGAGAAATCAGTACACAGAAGCTGAGAGGTGGGGTTTTATCTCCCTAGGGAGACAGGCAGGAAAAGAGCTAGGGAAGCTAATTGCAGGCCTGCTCCCCACAAATCACAGGCCTCCAGCACCCCCAGCCTGCCCCAGTTCCCTGGAAGACACGTCAGGAAAGAAAACAATTTGACTATCCCTCTATCAAATCAGGCAGGACTGACTGGGACAGGGAGAGAGTGAGATATTGATAATAAAAAATGTGTCTTGGCCTCTGCCCAAAGCTGCCAGCACAGGGGGCCTGAAGCCCTTGTCATTGCCCAGGTGACAGAAGTGTCTTTTGTTCCAAGAAGGTGACTCTCAGTGGCTCCTGGGTGTGGCTGGTCAACAGAATCACCAAGCTGTGATTAGATACTTGGAATTTTCGGCCCTGCCCACCATTCTCTTGAGAAGGGAGAGAGGCCAGAGTGGAGTCACGGGTCCATCAGGCCTACGTGCAGAAGCCCCTGCAAATCCCCAAAGGACGGGCTTTGGAGAGCTGGGGTGGGGGTGGGGGGCTGGGCACACCGAGGAGCTGGGATGGGACGAGCCAGGAGAGGCCGTGGGAGCTGTGCCCACACACCTCTGCTTCATTACTCTTCCATCTGGCCGTTCCTGAATTATCTCTTTATAATAAACCAGTGATCCAGTGAGCAAAATGTTTCTGAGTTCCGTAAGCTGCTCGCAAATTAATCGAACCCAAAAAGGAGGTCGTGGGGCCCTCTGGTTGGCCAGAGACACAGGGAACAACCTGGGCTGGCAAGTGGCATGTCCGGTGCAGGTGGGGGCCCGGGGGCAGCCTTCTAAGACTGAGCCTTTAACCCGTGGGCGCTGCCACCATCTCCACCGTCAGTCTTGAGTTGAATTCTTGGACACCCTGCAGGCTGTGTAAAGCTTGATGTATGGTAGGGAAATTCACCCCATTGGAAACTGTTCTCAACGTACCCAAAGAGACTAACAGTGACATGGCCGTGCTAAGAGACCTACTATGTGCCGCACATTCTTCTATGTGCTTTATGCAGCGACCTGTTTAGCCCCAGCAGCAATTCTCTTTGGCAATACTATTACGATCCCTATTGCAAAGATGACCAAACTGAAGCAGAGAGGGGTCAAGGAACAAGCTCAAGGCCACACAGCCCATAGAAGGGGTGGTGCTGGGACTCAAAGCCAGCCTGACTCCAGAGTCAAGGCAGTAATTCGGGCTGCAGCCCACCGCCTACTTCCACGTGGCCTGGCTGACCTGGTTAGGTCAGTTTCTCAGAGGTGTCAAGCCGCACGCCCACCCTCCACGCACACACCACTCACGTGGTTGTGAATGAAAAGCCGCATCTGCTTTCGGGGATAGTGGAGGCGCAGGAGCCGCTGGAAGAACAGGGACAGGAACGGCGTGGGCTGTTCAATAAAAACGCCGACCAGGACGACGGGCAGCGCTTCTTCCTGCACAGGGAGAGGACGGCTCAGGCGTCTGGCAGTGCCCAGCCACTGCCCAGCTGCTGAGTCCCTAGGGCAGCTTGAGGGAGCCAGAGGCAGAGGTGGTGTGTGGACTTCACCAGGAAGGGGCCTGGGCTGGGAAGCTCCAAGCAGGGGGTGTCCCTGCCCGTCTGGGAGCAGCAGAAGCCCAGCCTCCAAGCAGGGGGCCAGGGACGGTTTCTCAGCATGTGGCTGGTGTGGGGTTTAGAGTGAGTCATAAATGAGGAGGTTCATGCACTGGGGTAGGAGCTGCAGAAGAGCCTCAAGGACTTGACAGAAGGCACTGGAACTTAGGCATCTGTGGGAAGTGGGAGCCACATGCAGTCTGAAGCTTCCGGGAGGTGACCCCTTTATCTCCCACCAAAGACAATAGCCACTTGCTGACTCTCCCGCCCCTCCCCACCAGGGGAAGGAGACCCCAGCGTTGCAGCCTCACCCCGATGCCCTTGAGACTACGCAGGCCCTCGTCACACACAGAGCAGCCCGTCTCGAAAGTCCAGAAGCGCGGGATGTAGTTGCCCAGGTAGTTCAGCTGAAGCTGTCGGAGAGGTAGGATCTGAGCAGGGGCCGGCGGACCCCACCCACCAGCACCCAGTCACACCTCACTGGGCCAGGACAGGAGCGGGGAGGGGCACCATGTCTTCATTGTGGGTAGGTCTTGAGAAGAATGTTCTGGCCCTCTGGAGAGCAATACTGCTGGGGGGGGGGAGGGGATTCCTTCCTCTTTGAATCTCCTAGGAGCTTGTAAAATGCAGATTTCTGGGCCCCACACCCTCAGAGATTGCAACCGAGGGGCTCTCGGTAGAGTGAGGCAATCGGCATTCACATGCTCCCTTCCTCCTGCCCACGTGGCTCTGATGTGGACTGAGGAGTGTGCTGTGAGCCAGGGCCAGTTCCCCAGGGGCCGGCCAGGTCTGGCCACCCCAGCCCCCCCCCCGTGGCTCCAGGAGAGTAGGGACCAGTCTGTGCCATTCACGACTGAGCCTCGTACCCGGGTGCAAACATTCAGCTTTTTGAATGAAGAAACAAGTCTGCCCCAGCACGCTGGGCATGCCTGGGCCCGGATGAACATGCCAGCCTCCTATGTGGGCCCAGCATCACGGGGCCCAGCAGGCTGGGCGGGCATCACTGTCCACCAGGGTCAGGGATGGAGGTGCAGATGTGAGGTCAGAGGCTGCCAGCGGGACCTGCGTGGGTGGCTCTGGCCTCAAAGAGAAACTACGGGGCTGCTGGAGAAGTAGAATTGGGCTCTGGCCCCTCCCCTCGCCCCCCAGGTTGGGGCCCCTCCCTACCTTAGTGGGCCCATTGCCATGAATCAGGACGGGGAGGGTGTCGTAGGCCAGGTTCCGGGCTCTTACGTGGCCTTTTTCAAATTTGAGCACAACCTCATCTGGGAGTGAGAAAGCAACGCCCTGCATCAGACCCACAGGCCAAGTGGAGGGGCTGACAGGCCGGGCTCATGTCCTCGCTCCCCAGCAGCAGGGTGTGGTCTGGGAAGGCACTTTACTCCTCTGAGCCTAAGTTTCCTCCTCTGTCAAGTGCAGGTGAGAGTGGGAGGATTCTGTGTCCAGAAACACTTGGCACCTGCCTGGCACGTGTGACCATGGCCTCCAAGGCCGCCCCAGCTATTGCCTGTGACTGCTCATCAGAGCTGGAGGGGGGATGGGAGAAGGTGGTGTCCTAAATCATCCCAGCTTCACACACCCTCGGAGAAGCCCCAGGGACAGGGGCTGGGAGGGGGTCTCAGGGCCCTGAGAATATGTGAGGGTGATTCAGCCCTAGTGAGAGCCCTCTCACGGCATGACCCCATTCATCTGCACGAAAGACATGGGGTGGGAAGCAGCCTGTGGGGCAGTTATGGGAGGCAGAGGGGTCTTTCCTGCCCAGAAGCCTCTGAAGATGCTGGGAGGCCTGTACTGGTGGGTGGTCGTGGGGCAGAGTCCCCCTGTGCAAGCTCCTGGCCTGCCCCTGGGGTGGTTAGGACCCAGCTTCTTCTCTGAGGTTCTTGTGCTTCCAGAAACCACAGGCAAAAGGGTGGGAGGTTTCCTTCCTGGGAAAGGAACCTTAGCTTGTTTCAGCTTCTCAAAGGGGTCCCCAGAAAATCACCCATCAGTGATCGGCTCCAACATCTCTTTTCTAAAGATGAAGCTTGAGGTGTGTGTGTGTGTGTAGTGTGTATGTATGTGTGCATGTATGCAGTGTATGCATGTATGTGTGTGCGGGTGTTTTTTGTGTGTACATATGTGCATGTATGTAGTTGTGTGTGGCTATATGTGTATGAGACTTGCTTGAGGTCACCCAGCAAGAGTGTGGCAAAGCAACATCACCACCAGCTATGACGGGGACAAGCCCCAGAGCAGGTTTCAAAGGCCATTGTTTGCTTCCAAAGTCATCCATTGCCTCCCTGCCAGCTCAGTGCCAACCCTCAGCGCCCTCCACCCCTTATCCCCCCCAAGCCTTACCTGGGAGGTGGGAGGGCAGGGGAAGGAGGTGAAGCAGCCTCCCAGGGCTACAGGGCAGGGCCAACTACCTGCTGTGCGTATGGCCTGGCACCCCCTCCAGGCTGAGCAGCTGCCCCTCTTGCCTTGGTATTCCCCAGAGTCTGTGGACTGACTTTGTGGCCCACTATTCTCATCCCCCGGAAGACACACAGTTCTCCTCTAGGCTATCCTGATGGCCTCTGGGGGCTAAGGATGGGGCAGGCAACCTCCAGCTCAAGGGCAGAGAGAGCCAGCCTGGTTCTCCTGCTTGGGCTCAGGCCCAGCTTGGAATCCTCATCTCCATCTAACCACCCCTCTCAGGATCCCCTGTCCATAGGGGCAGCTCACCCAAGGCTCCGTCTAGGTTCTGGAAGATACGACAGCGGTGGTCCAGGGTGATATTGATTTGATCCTGCAGGAGAGAGGGCATGGGCTGCAGCAGGGACACACCCTGGCAGAGGACTCCACTGTGCCAGGAGCACCTGCCCTCCAACCTCTGCTACTTTCCTTCCCCATACCCGCTTTGCCAGCTTACACCAGGGCAACTGGGGGTACTGGAAGGAAGCTCCACCCAGGGCTTCAGGCCCAGGCAGGCTGCTCCCAGGGCAACCGGGCGCGCCCTCTGCCTCTCACCCTCTTCTCGGGGTCCAAGAAGACCTTCGTGTAAAAGAGCTGGTCACTGTCGCTGTCCAGGCCCTCCCACTCGGCCACCAGTTTGCTGAGGTTGGGGGCATAACCGATGAAGCCTGCATTGGCAGGGGAGACACAGACAGACACTTAGTTTCTGGCCTCAAGGTCAGGGGTCCCTTCCCAGCCTCTCCTCATGGACCCCCCACTTTCACCCCCAGTGCTGCGTCCCCTTAGAAGTCCCCCTAGATGAGTGGAGCAGCTAGAAGTAGAGCCCGTTAATGCCTCTTGGTTCTCAGCTGGTCCAGAGAGAAAGACCAACAGTGCGCACTGAAGGGCACCAGCTCAGTGCTGGGCACAGGCAGTGAACGAAGGGATGAGACCCCCCTGGAGAGCAGGGCGCTGGGACACAGGCTTGGGAGCGCTCTTCTACAGTTATCGTGAATAGAGGTCTAGGAAACCTGACCTAGAGAAGGGCAAAGGCCAAGGCCACACAGTGTTTGGGGGCTCGGAGGGGAAAGCCCACACAGAGCACCCCAGCCACGGTGCCTGCTGGTGAGAGAAGATGGAGAAGGTGGGGAGCCATGGGGGGGGAGGCACCCCAAGGGACGCCTGAACACCCGGGCTAGGGCCAGGCCATCTGGCTGTGCTAACTTTCTTGGCCAACAGGGAAGAGTGGCTGCCAGGGCGGGGCCCCCTTCAAGGCTGATAGAGGCCTGCGGATTTGATTCTCCAGGTGATGGGAAGCCACTGAGTGACGTGAGTGGGTCTGCATCTGGCTGCTGCTGGACAATGGACTAGAAGGAGGAGAGGCTGGTAGGGCAGTTAGGAGGCAAGTGCAGACAGCAAGGAGCAGGTGGGTGGGGTGTGGACACAGAGAGAGTTTCCGAGACCTTCTGAGAACATGACTCCCATATGCGCTGGGAGGGGAGGGGAAGGCAAGGGAGGACCCGGGACTTCCGGTTTTGTCCTGGATGGATGCATGGCTGCTGGCGAGGTGAGGAGGAGCGGGGAGCATGGGTCAACCCGGGACATCCTGTGTGTGGGACCTGACAGCTCCATGGACATCCAGCAAGTGGATCCTCATGAAGGCAGAGGATGGAGCTCGCCGCCTCTCCACACACTCCCCACCGGGCTCCTCACCTCCTGAGCCCAGGAACCGCTTGCCATCAGATACCGCTGGGTACTTGGCCTCCAGCCTGCGGTCGGGGTAGATGAGCTCCTCCGCCGAGAAGACCACCTGGCTCCTGGCCTGCCGGAACTTCCTCAGGAGCTCTCGAGGCCCAGATGCAAACACCACGTCATAGCTGTGGCCAGAGGGAGAAGCCCAGAGGGCAGGGGTGAGGAGGGAAGAGCCGGGCAGGGGTGAGGAGGGGGGCGGAGTGAGCACTAGGAATGACCACAGTTTGGGACTGGACCTGCCCAATGTCCCCAGCCCTGCCCACCGTGTCTCTACTCCCACCCTGGGCAGAGAGAGGGTCCCCAATCCAGTGCCCTTCTCAGCTCAAGGCAGGGTTAACCACACCTGGGCAGGATCCCTGCTCATCTTTTCACCAGGAATGTGAATGGACTAACACTAGGGGGTCTTTCCTGGGGTTCACAGACCCCTGAAAACTGCAGGCAATCTTAGCTAGAGTGATCCCCCTCACCCCCAATGTCCAGAGAGGGCCTCCTTTTAGAATATTCTCTCAGCCAAGAGGCACCGCCCAGGAAGCCCCCAGCCACCCACCTGTCTGTGAAGAGAATGACCAGGTTCTCCTTGTCCGCGTGCTTCTCCAGAGCTTTCTTCAGCAGCCGCACCTTCAGACCTCCGCCTGCCGAGAGCTCCTTCCCAGGCCAGTCCTCCCCCAGGCCCAGTGACTACAGAGAAAGGCCCCTCAATGTAGGCTGTTGGTGAAGAACTATCTTGCCTGCGCCATATGCACGCCCTGCCTGAGCAGTGAACATCTTTGCCTCTGTCTGTCCAGCACCTCCCCTTGTCACAGTGGGAAAAATCCTCCATAAGATGTGTGAGAGGGGACTCCTGGATGGTCACGGGAGCGTGATGGCCAATCAGAACGTCCCAACCCTTGTGCCCCACCCCACCCCGACAGATCTATCAGAGTCTCCCTGGGTCTGCTCTGTTAAAATGAAGGAAAGGCTATTTTGTTTTACTTAAGTTGAAATGCTGGCGCACGTGGACCTACAGCTGGATACCCCAGAGAGAGAACATGCCTGCAAGAAACAGGGCCTAGAGATGGAAAGATAAAGCCCTGAGCCTGCTGCTTGAACTCCTAGGTCCAGCTATGCCTGAAGCAGTCCTCTACCTTAACCCTCATTCACGTGAGCTGATGACTCTTTCTGGTTAATGTCATGAGACTGCAAGCTATGTGGGCAACGACGTGGCTGGTCTTGTCCATCATTCTACCCTCAGTGCCTTCCACTCTTTCTGACACAAGGACCATTCGACACACTCAGCTAAATGGAGGAATGTCTCCCCGCAGGGCTCAGCCCCAGGGCCTGCACACAGAGGCAGGTGGGGCATTAGCCTGTGTTTCTTTAGAGCGGTGTTTCTACAGGCGAGATCTCCCAACTGTGGCCCTCCCAAAATCCCCTGGGGGGAGCTGGGCCAATGCTGACTCCTGGGCCCTTTAAACCAGCCACACACCCACGTCAGCCTCCTGAGCTCTGACGCTGAACACCTCCACCTAGGTCTCCAGTCTCATGGTCCCCCCACCTCCACCTCCCAGACTTCGCTTATGCTCCTCTCCCGCTTGCTTCTCCTAACTCAGCCTCATCTGTCAGACTTTGAGAAGTTTCCCTGGGGCTCCAAGACAGTTAGGAAACTGGATTCCCCCACCACCCACCCCACCCTCAGCGTCTTACTCAGGGAGCCTCTTACCTGAATCTTGTAGTTGAAGAACTGGGCTGAGCGCTTGAAGCGTCGGAAGCCCTCGGTCTCCTGCGTGGCCACCGTGAGGACTAAAAGGTTGTCTAGGGACAGAGAAGGGCGGTGGGGTGGGGGGCAGTGAGGGGACAGGAATGGAGGATGCAGGCAGGAGTGAGCCACAGCTTCAAGTCAACCCACTATAGGCAACCAACCTAAGAAGGCTCAGCTGGTTGCTACAGAGCAGGGACGTGGCTCTCCCCTCCCCTCCCCAGGGCTCCAGCTACCTGGTACCTGACTGCCACGGAAGGAAGCCACTGGAACAGAGGCGTCTGCACCTGGCATGTGGGACTGGGTCTCTGGGGCTATTAGGTGGCCCGACCTCCATAGAGACAGGAATAGAGGGAGGATGTGCCCCAAATGCTGAGCTCCAGCAGGGCCTCTTCTGGCCAATGCTGGACATTAACCCCAGGGACAGGCACAGGCTGATCTATCCCAACAGTCTCCCTTGCTGAGCCCTGGTTTCTTCCAACTCCGTGAGAACCAATGAGAATCGGGCAGGAATGGGAGCCAACCCGAAATCCTGACCTTTGGCCAGAGCAGCTGTACAACTTTTTAGCAAGGGACCTCTCTTGGGCTGTGCGGTGTGGGTTCACCTCTGCAAGAGAACTTGCTGGAAACAGCAACCCCAGACAACATTTCTGGAAGGCCGGGGACAGGCGCTCCCAGACCAGATTTTGAGGCTGTGTTCTCTAGAAGGGAAGGCTCTGTTGCTGGACCACCTCATCAGAATCCCAGCTCTGCTCCTTACCAGCTGAGTGATCTGAACCAAGTCCCTGCTCTCTCTGAGCTTCGGCTTCCCCTTGTAAAATAGGGAGACAAGAACCTACCTCCTGGGGCTGCCGGATGAATTAAATGATCGGGTGTGTAAATCATAGCTGGGGCGCTGGCACACACTAGTGCTATTACTAGTGCTGACTAGTGAGAAGCAAGCTCCTCGCTGTGGCATTCGAGACCCTACCCTCCATAGGCCCAGGCGCCCTCTCACCCTCTCTGTGAGTGGACCCTCCTCCAGCTGGGGGTCTGGCCTAGCCAGGGGTCTGGCCCTCTTACCACAGCTCCTTCTCTCTAATTTTTCTGCGGGGCCCCAGGCTCAGTGACAGTGATCCCTCCCTCGGCCACCACCTCTGCGAAGACTTCTCAGGTTTCTCCTGACCCCGCCTCATCTTTGTTTTCTGGGTGAGCCTTAGTTTCCAGGGGATTGGTGAGCAGACCCACTAGGTAGCCAGGCCAGCAGGTAAGGCCCTCCCACATCCCCACCCCAGGCAGTGGGGCAGAGCTAGAAGAACAAAGGGGTCTGGCTGGGCAGAACCAGCTGAGCTGAGGGCAGGGGCAGCTGCTGGCTCCAGAGCTGGGGGCTGGCGCCAAGGCAGCTGGGCAGGGATTGGTAGGAATCCGCTCCTGGGGCAGAAGCAAGTGGATTCACTGGGCAGGTGTGGAGAGGGGAGGCCCTACCACCATGCCCTCAGTCCAGGAAGGAGGACTGCTGTGCACACTTGGGGAAAGGCCCCCAACTCCTGCCACCACGGTTCAATTTCCCCTGGAAGCCACCAGCCCCGAGATCCTCTTGGAGCTGCTGGGACAGGAGTGTCACATTTCTCTGGCAGAAAAAGCCAGTGAGTGCAGCGTGTCTGTAAGATTCTGGATTCTCCATTAAGCCAGGCAGCGGGGGAGAGGGGCGTGCTGAGTCTGAGACTCTGTTCTCCAGCTCCTGCTTCCAGAGGAACAGCACAGGATGGTAACCTTGCGTGAACTCTTCCACACCCAGAGTCACCCAGAGTTGGTGCTAAGCACTTCACACATACTAACCTCCCGCTTGACAGTTCAAACAAGGCTCAGAGATGGGGAGAAACTTGCCCACGGGCACCAGACACCTGGACAGGAGCCCCTGCTCCTCACCTCTGCACACACTGCCCAGGCCTGGGACAGTGGCCAGACCGTCGGTATGTCCAGCCATCTAAGGAAGTTGTCCAGCTGAGGTGGTGACGAGGCCCGGTCCCCCACCCCTCCTCATCCTGTTTGGCCAGTCTTGTTTTCCTGGTTGCTACCAGGTGTCCGCACTGGGCTGCCCCAAAAGCCTGTGATCCGTGGGCCACACAGGGCTGCCTCCCTCGCCAAGGACCGCACAGGATCCCCTACCTGCCTGCATCTCAGCATCACCAGGGAGGATACAAAAGCCAGATTCCTGGATCCCAGGATCAGATCTGAGATGGGCCCGGGAATCTGGATTTCCCATCCCTACTGACTTTTGATGTCAGCCACAATCGGAAAGCTTTGGTCCAGCCCATTCCCGGGTCCTCGGACTCTGGGCTCTGGGCAGGGACCTGGAAGATGGCTGGAGGGTAAATGAAGTTATTGGGCTTTTCCTGCCCTCCTGCCATTAGCATCTATGACCAGCTCCTGTAGTCTCACACGCACACGTGTAATCATGGACACCTGGGCCTAGGGGACACGGGCACGCGCATATGTTAACTGGGACACTTGCGGCTAGGGGCTATGTGGGAGAGGCCGGACTAGGAGAGAGGAGGCAGCCACAGAAATACTGAGCAAGAGCTGGCCCATCCCCTGATTCAGCATTAAAGACCTGCAAAAATCCACCAAAGGCTCCAAAGTTACCTTTCATCTGTGACAGCTGACAATGAACCTACCCAGCCTGGATGGTTGCAAAACAATGGGTCATCGCAAAGAACGCAAGGCTTCTTCCCCTCTATGTCACTACCACAGAGGTTGGCATCACCTCTTGACACCCCCATGAAAGCAGTGAACCCAGCCAGCACCCCATTCCCTTGTGCTGCTTGCAAAACTTACTCCTTTCCCTAAAGTGCCACCAAGCCACCTCCTCCAGGAAGCCCTCCTTAATCACACTCCCTTATATGATCAGTCCTGGTCTGTGCAATCTCGGTTTGCCCAGCAGGTGCAGTCCCAGTGCACACCTGCTCCTTCTCCCTTTACCAGGCCTGGCCCACACCTTGATAACAGCAACTTGACATGAGGCCCAAGCCTGGGGACCTGCCACCTCTTGTCCATCAATTACCTACTTACTATCTACTAGGAGCTTCACCTGGATTACTTTGCCAGCACCCTGAATCCCACACTCTCTACAGGGGTTGCCTCCTGTCCTCTCTGCCCCCTCCCATCACCTGCTGGGGGTCAGGGCACCTGCTGTCTCGTATCAATTTGGTCTTTCCAACTGACCTCCTTGGGCTTCATCGTGGGAAGCTGGAGTTTCTCTCCTGGGATGGTCTGGGTGGAGGAAGCCTACATCAGCAGAGGCAGGTGAAAGAGAAGTCCAGGAGGAAAAGGCTATGATAGGGTTCCTGGGGGCGAGTGGACACAGGCCACAGGCCCTTTGCACATACTACCAGACTAGCACCTCCTTCACTGGAGTTTTTCACCCATCTGACTACCCTGCTGTGATACTTCCAAAAGCAGACAGCACTGACAATGCCCCAACTGGCCAGGCATTGAGCTGAACCCGCCACAGGCCTCATCCATGGGCTCCTATAAGAACTCTAGGGGTGAGGCACTAGGGCCCCACTTTCGCAGGCTAGAAGACCATGCCTCTCAGAGATTAAGCTCCACTGGCTTTAATACCAAGCTTTGGTTGGATAAAACCTGACACAAAGGAAGTACTCAAGAAAAGGGGGTTCCCCTGGTCCAAGGGACTGCTAACTACTCTCTCACCCTCTCTGGTTCCAGTTTCTCTAGGAGGGTGGTTCTAAGGGAATAGGGTGTCATATAGCCTCTTGGGGCTCTGCTTTTTGGGGGTTACCCACAGTGTATGCTCTCCTTGGGGCTCACAGATGCTCCCTGGGCAGGCGTGGAGATGACCCACACTGGGAGGACTGGGGAGAAGAATAGCACCCACTCAGGACAGTGGGGCACACTCTGAAACCCAACCTCCCTGGCGGATGAAGGAGGAGCAGTAGACCTGGAGTCCAGGACAGCCCTGGGCAGTCACTGCACCTTTCTGGGCCTCAGTTTCCTCATGTGCAACCTGAAGACAGTAAGACCCATCTGGCAGGGGGACGGCAGACACAAAAAACAGCTCTGCAATGTGCGTCACCCCCTGCACCCCTATTCTGCAGCAGCAGGGGCCCTCATCCCCAAGGCTGAGAAGGCCAGTGGCTCCCTCCTGGGCTCTGGAACCACATTCACCCGGGAGTCAATCCTGGTTCCAAGGTCCACAAACTCCGCGGTCTTGGACACACACTCTGGGGCCTCAGTTTGTCAAGCTGGAGAAGGGGGGAATGGAAGGATGCCCATGGGGGGTGGATCGGCCTGGGGGTGCCGGCCCAGAGGAAGCGCTCCGTGAATAGCCCCCACTGTCACCACGACCAGCCGGTTACTGACGGAGCCTCCCGGGCTGACCGCTTCAGCTTCCCGGCCTCCCGGCTGCCCCGAGGGGAAGTGATTTCTCAAGGCGCCGGCGAGTCGGCGGACAGTGGGGAACCCCATGTCCCCAGCGGGCCCGGGCCTCCGGGACAGCAGGTCTGCGGAGGCGGCCCCGGCACGGCCCCCCCCCCCCCCCGCCGCCCCGGCCCCCCGCCCCGCCCGGCCCCCCCGCCCCCCGCCCGCGCCCGCCCGCGCCCTCACCCTCCGGCTCCGCGTCGCCCGCGGCCGCGGCCAGCAGCAGCCCGCCCAGCGCGGCCAGGACCAGCGGGGCCCGCATGGCCGGGTCTGCGGTGTCCGGCGGCTCCGCGGCGCTCGCAGGCTGGAAACTTCGCGACGGGGCCGGCGGTCCCGCTGCCACGCACGGGGCCCGCCCCGGGGGCGGGATCGCGCGCTCCATCCCGCCCCCCGCGCGCCGGGGCCTCTCCCGGGCCCGCCCCGGGTCCTACCGCGGGTCCTGCCCCGGGTCCTGCCTCGGGTCCTGCCCCGGGTCCTGCCCCAGGTCCTGCCCCGGGTCCTGCCCCGGGTCCTGCCGCCTTCTCCCGGGCCTTCCCTGGCGCGGGGGTAGCTGGAAGCCACGGGGACGCAGCGGCGCCCCTACCCCGGATTCCACGCCGAGCCTTAATGGTGTCGATAACCCCGAGCCTCAGTTTCCTCACCTGAGACTTGGGGATTCCCACGGCGGCGTCTGCTTGGGCCTCGCCCGAGTGAATGTTACCTGTTACCTGGAGGCGCTGCCAGCACCGGTGACGAGTCCTCAGCAAGAGTCAGCTCTTAGCATCTCGCTGGCCCCCACAAACCTAGGGCTGCCAGGATCGGAGCCCAGGGTGGGCAGCGCTGTGCGCAGAGGCGTCCACACCCGCTCAGACAGTCCTGGAGGCCGCAAATGCAGAGAGCACCTCACCGCCACAGCCCCCACCCCACGCCCCGACCCCCACCCGCACACACCCCCACACACCCAGCTAAGTACCGAATCTACCTTCATGGAGGCAAAGAGAACGTCTGAAGCAAAGGAGGTTTTGCTCCTGTGATTTCATTGTTAAATCTATGCATAAATAAATGAATAAAATTGGTGAGGGCCCCTTCACCCAAGGGAGCCTTCCCCCAGCCCAATAGACAAGTGAAGGGTGTCTAGAGCCAGAGCTCCTGGGCCAGCTGCCAGCTAGAGCATCCCTCTGGGGTGGGGCAGGGGAGAACCCCCCTCCCTTCCCGAGGTAGAACAAGGAGCCCCCTTCCAGCAGATTGGGTGGCAGAATAGTAGGTGATGAAAGCAGCCTGGGTGCTCCCCACTCCAAGGGTCAAAGGGCAGAGGGAAGAGGGATGTCATGGATGTGAAGGAATAACAGCAAGCAACAAGGAGGAGCTGGGAGGTGGGGCGGGGGAAGGGGGGAGAAGAGAACTCAACAGGTAAGACTTCTCAGGCAAGGGAAGCAGCCTTCCCCAGTGTGGTCAGGTGTGGAGTCTGACCCTGCTCAGTGAACAGTGAGTATAGAAACAGTGCACTAGGTCAATGTCAAGAGAGAATGACAGCCATGTGATTCCATTACTATTATATATTTTATATATTCATCATATTCTTTTATTTCCTGGTTGGTTTTTTATCTTCTTTTTTTTTAAAAAAGATTTATTTATTTATACAAGAACCGGGGTACAGGCCAGATTCACGGGAGGGTGAGAGGATTCATCAGAGACAGAGTGGGGAACAGAACAGGCAGACTGACGAAATACACTGCTGAGGGGAGCAGCGGGTGAGACAGGAGAGATCTGCCCTGCCATGTGGGATTCTCGCTGGCCAGCAGGTATCAAACCCGCACTGCAGAGGCTGCGGACAGCTTCACAGTGCTGCTGCACTCAACCGCCTGGGCCACCAGGGAGGCCCTGTTTTTTTATCTTCTTAATTCTTTCATTGTTTCAAAATTATTTTTTACAATGAATATATCTATATGTACAAACTAAAGCCAACACATTGTTTCTAGAAGCTCCAGAACCTGGGAGATGTACAGAGACTCACTTCACAGATGGTATGTTGAGACCCAGAGGGACTGGGCAAGTGAAGGGAAGAAGCACAGTCCAGGGTGTCTCCCTCCCAGCTGGGACCCAGGGCAGCAGTGTCTCCTGCTGAGAACAGGACTTGGTGCCAGAATCCACCGGATGTTTTTATATTCTGGAGAATGCAGGCTGAAATTCCAGATCCTTCAAGGAGGAAATGGAGGAATGGAGCAGAGCAGAGCAGAGAATGAGTGGTTTTGGCTGGCTCAATTTTCAAAGCTCTGTCTCATTCTGCAAATCTGGCAGTACCCCCAACATTTTGGAAAGGAGACTCAGAGAAGTAAAGCAACCTGCCGGTAGACTCACAGCTGCTTGAGGCAGGCAGTAAGGGAGGGACGCTGGAACCAGGCTCTAACTCTGCATTTGCTCTTACCCAAGGAGAAGCTCAATGGTGATGTACTACGGACAGAAAAAAAATCTCAGGCAGGGGGGTCCCTTGACCTGAATACCCCAGGTTATTGTAAATCAGGTGGGAGAACCAGTGTCAGAGGCTGCTGGCCTCCTCTAAAGAAAGGATTTACCCTGAAGAAGCCCCCCCTCCAACCCTTTGGTATCTATATCCTCTTCCCTTCACTAAATTGCTGGAACTTAAACTTGATCCAAACTTCATCCAAAAGGAGGGCCTGTCTCTTTAACCAGTGGTGGCTGCCACCCAGATGTTACTCCTGGTACGTGCTGCACATGTTGTGGACAGTTAAAGGCACAGGACTCCACTTTCTTTCTTTTTTTTTTTTTAAAGATTTATTTATTTATACAAGAACCAGGGTATAGGCCAGATGTGCAGGAGGGTGAGAGGATTCATCAAAGACAGTGCGGGGAACAGAACAGGCAGACTGACTGAAATACACTGCTGAGGGGAGCAGCAGGAGAGACAGGAGAGGTCTGCTGCACTATGTGGGTGTCTCCCCTGCTGGCTGGGATCGAACCTGCAATGCAGAGGCTGTGGACAGCTTCACAGCACTGTACTCAACAGCCTGCGCCACCAGGGAGGCCCAGGACTCTGCTTTCTTGGGAAGACACCTGAAGAAGAGGGGGCTGGGAGAGCAGCCACCCAGTGCCCTCAGGGGCTTAAACACTTAGCTATCTCCTTTCACCTTTTTCCTTTCTGGGTCGAAGGAAGAGGGAGGTTTCAGAGAACAGCCACACCCTGGGCGACTGCAGCCTGCTCCTCAACTCCCTCGCCTTCACCCCGCACTTAGCCTCCCTAATCATCATCATCATCAGAAGAAGAACAATAACAACAGAATTTTCAGACTGTTCCCTTAAGTGAAAAAAGTCATGTATGGTAAATGCCACAATTGATGTGAAAAGAAAAATAGAGACAAGAGTCTACATGTCTGTAAGTTGATAGAATTTCCGAAAGAGTATCCAAAGGGCAGACAGTGGTAGTATGTGTGGAGAGGAATAGATTGATTAATGAGTGGTTATTTTCTGCCAGGCAACATCCTAAGTGCCTCTCATGCTTGTCTAATTTAAGCCTCAGGGCAATCGACTCTGTCTCATGATCCCCCCTTTTTTTTTAAAGATTTATTTATACAAGAACTGGGGTACAAGCCAGAGGAGCAGGAGGGTGAGAGGATTCACCAGAGACAGAGTGGGGAGCAGAACAGGCAGACAGACGAAATACACTGCTGAGGGGAGCAGCAGACGAGACAGGAGATCTGCGGCACCATGTGGGTATCTCCCTGGCCAGCCAGGAATCGAACCTGCAATGCAGAGGCTGCAGACAGCTTCACAGTGCTGCACTCAACCTGCTGCGCCTCCAGGGAGGTCCACGATCCCCTTTTTATGGATGGGGAAGCTGAGGCTCAGGGAAGTGAGTTGACTTGCTAGCACCCTTGCTAGCAAGGCCAAGAGTCAAAATCCTGGCAAACTGAGGCCAGATTCTCTTAGTCTTGACCCGCTGGCTTTGTTGTGGCCACGTTGCTGACCATTGGCTGTGAGTCCCCTCCCATGGGGTGCAGGCGGGTGAGAGTGGCAGGAAGTTAAGGGCATGAATAATGAGCGGCCCTTTGACCTATGGTTCTGCTTCCAGGAATTGCTCCCCCAGGAAACTCACACAAGTGGACCAAGATGTAAGGCTATTACAGGGCAGTCTGTACTGACGAAAATAATTATGTACGTTTGCGTTTACTGCCACTTAGTGTGTGTCAGACACTTGGTTGGCTTGACCAACCAGCATTAAGTTTTATCTCCAAAACATGGGTGGCATGTTCAGGGGCACCCACATTCTCAGATGGGATCGAGTCTCCTCTTGTCCTTTGCTCTGCCTTCACTGTGTGTCCCTGGCACTTCTGCCTCCCCAGGGGTTTGGATGGCGCCTGCATCTCTAATTGTAGGTCATGGACTCCTGCTGTCCACAAACACATTCTGTGGGACTTGTGAACTCCCAGGGGGAGTCTGGGACTTTGTGCTTAAGTCTTGACAATAACCTAAGGATAAAAAGAAGTAATCCTCCCGTAGGGTCACCTGCACAGGCACTGGCCCTGGAACTGCGCAGACGCATCTGTGTCTGCTCACGAGAAGCCACCTCATATGATGGCAAAATTCTCAGCCGGGAAGCATTCTTTGGCTTTGGAATGTCTTGAAACCAAAGCAGAAACAAATACCCCATTGTCCACCCCTGTCGTCGCGTTGAGTTTTTCCAGATACAAAGCAAAATCTCTCTTTTGCATTGATGATTCACAATAAAAAGGCATTTCAGAAGCATGCACCTTCAGTGTCTTATGTTATTTAATAAGCTAAAACTCAGAGCTGGTGGCATCAGGAGGACTTGGTGTGGCATCAGGATGCTGCCAGGAAGACCTGCAAGCATTGGACAGCGTTTCCTAGGCAGCCAGGTTTCCAGCTTTCTTCTGCTTTGTTTCTCTTTTTTTGTTCTTTTCTTTCCTTCTCTTGCCTTCCTTCTCCTCCTTCCCTTTCCGCAGCACTTTTCCGTAGTAAGTGTTCTGCAGTAAGGAGAACGCTTTTTACTGAAACAAAAGTATTTTTTTAGCTATTTTTTAAGGTTTATTTTATATATTTTTTTACTCATTTTTCATTTTTGCAACAATGTATGCATTTTCATCTTAGTTATAGTCCCCATACAATTCCCACCCCCCTTATTTTGACCCTAATCCCTTCTCCCCTCCCCTACTGTGTCTCTGGTTTATAGTTGCTTGTTGATTTTGATTTGATTTTATTATAATAGTCTTTTACCTGGTCCCTTATTTAGGTTTTCTAAATTCCTGCTATGAGTGAGACCATCTGGTGTTTTTCTTTTTCTTCCTGGCTTATTTCGCTGAGCATGATCCCTTCCAGCGCCATCCATGTTGCTGCAAATTGCATGTTGAAACAAAAGTATTTTATTATCACTTTTCTTTTTAATTTGTAGGTCTGTTGAATCCATCGGTCGCAACCAGAGCCCAGTCCGTGCTCAATTTGGCCGACTCCGGGTGCTTTCATTACAAGTGGGCTCCACGCCGCCCCTGCAGCCCATAGGGCGCCCCGGCTTGGACTTGTCTCTCCCCGCGGGAGCGGGTGGCCCCGCCCACAGCGGCTGCCGGCCCCAGCGCCGCGCCCCGCCCACCGCCCCGCCCCGCCCACCGCCCCGCCCCCTCCCGCCCAAATGTCGCAAAAGACGCGGCGGCGCTTGACGGCCGACGTCGTGTGACGGCCGGAGGCCAGCGACAGGGAGGAGGAAGCGGCGCAGCGGCTGCCGCGGCGGCGGGGACGCGGGCCGGGTGGGCGCGGCGGTGCGGGCCCGGGAGTGAGGCGCGGGCGGCCGGCCGGTGGGCTGGGCGCGGGCCCGGCGGCCACCCCGCGCCACGCCCGCGCCCGGCGGCCCGATGTGGCTGCAGCAGCGGCTGAAGGGGCTGCCGGGGCTGCTGTCGAGCAGCTGGGCCCGCCGCCTGCTCGCCCTGCTCGGCCTCCTGCTGCTGCTGCTGTGGCTCGGCGGCTCCGGCGCGCGGCGGGCGGCGGGCGGCCTGCACCTGCTGCCCTGGGCCCGCGGCCCGCCGGGCGCCGCGGAGCCCTCCGCCTGCCTGGAGGCGGCCACCCGCGCCTGGCGCGGCCTGCGGGAGCGCGGCGAGGCGGTGCCGCTGGGCCCCGGCGTGCCCGCGCTGGTGGCGAACGGCTTCCTCGCCCTGGACGTGGCCGCCAACCAGCTGTGGGTGACCCCGGGGCGCGGGAGCCCGCGGTCGCGCCGGACTTCGTGCCTTTCGTGCAGCTGCGGCCGCTGAGCGCGCTTTCCGAGGCGGGGGAGTCGGTGCTGCTGCCGCGGGAAGGGCTGCTGCGCCGCGTGCGCTGCCTGCAACTCGGGACCCCGGGTCGGGCCCGGCGGCCGCCATCCCCGGGCCCGCCTCGGCCTCGGGCCTTGCCACGGGCTCCGGCCGCGACTGCGTGCTGCTGCAGGAGGACTTTCTGGCGCACCGGGGCCGACCCCACGTCTATCTGCAGCGCATCCAGCTCAACAACCCCACCGAGCGCGTGGCCGCGCTGCAGACTGTGGGGCCCACTGCCGGCCCGGTCCCCGCGCCTTCACCAGCACCCTGGAGAAGTCGGGGACCATCAGTTCCTCCTCTACTCCGGCCGGTCTCCGCCTCTTTCCACGGGCCTGGTGCACCTGGTGGTGGTGGCAGCCAAGAAGCTGGTGAACCGGCTCCAGGTGGCTCCCAAGACCCAGCTGGACGAGACAGTGCTGTGGGTGGTGCATGTCTCCGGCCCAGTGAACCCCCAGGTGCTCAAAAGCAAAGCGGCCAAGGAGCTCAAGGCCCTCCAGGACTCTGCCCGGAAGGAAATGCTGGAGCTCTTGGAGATGCCGGCGGCTGAGCTGCTTCAGGACCACCAGCGCCTCTGGGCTCAGCTCTTCAGCCCAGGTGAGGCCTGGTGTTCTTGGTCCACAAGCCACCCCTTGCACCAGGTGACCATGGTTCCCCCTGGAGAATCCCCTCAAAGTCTCCAGGGGTGGGCCTGAAAGAGGATGGTGGGGTGGTGCAAACTTTGATGTGGAGTGGCAACCCTTAGAGTCATCTCTGTGTCCTTGGATCGGTGTCCTCAGCTCTCCAGGCTTGTTTCAGTGATGACAGTTGCACTCGCTGCAGAGGGCTTCGTGAAATCCTACTCAAAGAGCCAGCGTCCAGGGTAGGGCTTATTTGTTCTTGTAGGTGAGGCCTGATTTGAGCAGAGTGGTTTTAAGGGAGTTCATAAAGCAGAATCCAGCAGGCAGTGTGGGGATCCCTGGATTCTTCCAGCAGTTCCCCCCGGTCTGGTGGTGGCCCTGCCAGGCAGAGGGGTGCCCTGACTGAAGTGGCCGCTTTTTGACGGGGAGGCGTTGGACCCTTCTTTCAGCAGGCGGAGTGGGCCCGTCAAGTGATAACTTCTCCCCCCGTTGACTGTTTAAGAAAATTCTAGATAGAGAAACCCCCCCACCCCACCCCAGGGTTCTAGTTGTGTATTTTGTTGCCCAAAGAGTGTTTAGTTCATTCAACAGGCATTTATTAAATGGGGAACAAGGAAATGGACAGAACAAACTTCCTGTTCTCGTGGCGCTTGCAGGTTCTCATTGGGAGGAAAACAGTGAAACTTTGACTCCATAAGCAAGACAAAGTCCTCTGGAGAAAAGTTAAAATCGGTGACTGAGGGTGACAGGGCTGTGTCTAGGGGACAGTGTGTCGGGAAGAAAGCAGGCTGGAATGTGCGTGAGGGCGGAGGCTCTGGGCTCCACTGGGCTCCAATTGCCAGGGAGGCCTGTGAGGAGGAAGCACTTAAGGTGAGGCCTGCATAGCAAGAAGCTGGCAAGGGAGGGGCCCTGAGGCAGGAGCAGGTTAGGTGAGTGGCCAGTGGCTGGCACATAATGGACAAGGGGGGGTGGAGATTAGCAGGGTCACAGAGTGGAGGGCAGTGGGAGCCAGATCCTAAAGGCCCTCAGAGACTGAGGTGAGGACTGCACCGAGGGCAGGGCGGAGCACTCGCTGATCCCCATTTTTATTTTTATTTTTAAAGATTTATTTTTATTTACGTATGCATACAAGAACTGGGGTGTAGGCCAGAGGTGGAGGGGGGTGAGAGAAATCACCAGAGACAGGGTGGGAAGCAGAACAGGCAGATCTACTGAACTGAAATCCACTGCTGAGGGGAGCAGCGGGGAGACAGGAGGGGTCTGCTGCTCCATGTGGGTAGCTCCCTGGCTGGGGATGGAACTCACGCTGCAGTGGCTGCTGAAAGCTTCATAGTGCTGAGACGTAACCCTTTGCACCACCAGGCAGGCCCTGATCCCCATTTTTAAAGACCCCTCTGGCTGCTGTGTACAGAGGATAGCAGGGAGGGGGACACAGTGGAGACAGGTACGAGTGTTTTGTAGGAGCCCAGGTTGGTGGGGGCAGGGCCGTGTGGCTGTGCAGGGTTGTGACCACAGAGAGGAGCAGGTGCATTCTGAGGCTTTCAGAGACGGAGCCCCCAGGACTCTCCATGGACTGGTTGTGAGGAGTGAGAACCTGCAGGGGACTCTCAGTTTTGGGAGAGGGCTCCGCAGGTGTCTTAGGCAGCTTGGGGAGGGAAGGCTTGGGACTGGAAGAATTCAAACCATATCGGGTTCAAAATGCCCATCAGACAGCCCTGTGGAGACACAGGCGGGTGCTTAGCTCTCTGGGGCTACAGATGCAAATTTCATGAGGCTTGGGAGATCCTGTGTTCAGCTGTTCTTTAAAGCTACAGGGTGGGAGTGAGAGGTGCTGGAGAGAAGCACCCCAAGGCTGGCCAGGGCAGTGCCCGGTGTCCCTGTGTACGGGCACTGGACTTGGTGTCACAGGGTCGGGCCACGTCCTGCCCACATCTGTGTTGTTCTGGCCCTGGAAGGAGGCCTCTCTCCCCTTCACAGGATCTTAGGTCTCAGTCTGCAGGGCTCAGGTTGGTCATATGAGGAAGCGGCAGGAGTCTCTCCTGCTTGAGGAGCCTGGAGCTGCTGTTTCCACTCCCAGGCACAATGCGTGTCTCTGCTGCTTGGGCTCGCTGCCTCAACCTCGGCCCCCGGCCTGCCCTTCCTCCTTAACGTGCCATCTCTGTGGTGTTACAGGAGTGGAAATGAAGAAGATCACGGATGCGCACACCCCGTCCGGCCTGACCGTGAACCTGACGCTGTACTACATGCTTTCCTGCTCGCCAGCCCCGCTGCTCAGCCCCAACCTGAGCCACAGGGAGCGAGACCAGATGGAGTCGACGCTCAACTACGAAGATCACTGCTTCAGCGGCCACGCCACCATGCACGCCGAGAACCTGTGGCCGGGCCGGCTGGCCTCTGTGCAGCAGATCCTTCAGCTCTCCGACCTGTGGCGGCTGACCCTGCAGAAGCGCGGCTGCAAGGGGCTGGTGAGGGTGGGCGCACCAGGCATCCTGCAGGGCATGGTGCTCAGCTTCGGGGGGCTGCAGTTCACCGAGAACCACCTGCAGTTCCAGGCCGACCCCGACGTGCTGCACAACAGCTACGCGCTGCACGGCATCCGCTACAAGAACGACCACATCAACCTGGCCGTGCTGGCCGACGCCGAGGGCAAGCCGTACCTGCACGTGTCTGTGGAGTCACGCGGGCAGCCCACCAAGATCTACGCCTGCGAGGCCGGCTGCCTGGACGAGCCCGTGGAGCTGACCTCGGCGCCCCAGGGCCACACCTTCGCGGTCATGGTGACGCAGCCCATCACGCCGCTGCTCTACATCTCCACCGACCTCACGCACCTGCAGGACCTGCGGCACACGCTGCACCTCAAGGCCATCCTGGCCCATGACGAGCACATGGCCCAGCAGGACCCGGGGCTGCCCTTCCTCTTCTGGTTCAGCGTGGCCTCGCTCATCACCCTCTTCCACCTCTTCCTCTTCAAGCTGATCTACAACGAGTACTGCGGGCCCGGGGCCAGGCCCTTCTTCAGGAGCAAGGTAGGGGCCCGCCCCCCCCGGCCCCAGCCCCGCAGCCGGGCGCGCTGTCCTGGGCCCAGGGCGGGGTGAGGCCGAGGCAGGAGTGGGGTGTCCTTCCCGGCCGGTGCCCTCGGCCTCCGCAGAGAGGAGCGAGGCCCTTGTGAGAGGACGTTGAAAAGTGACTTCTGAGGAGACTAGACGGGCAGGGAAAGCTGTGGAAGCCCGGCTGGGAGTAGAGGGGTCGCCTGGCTGCCAGGGCAAGTCCCCACACCCCGTGCCCCCTCTGAAAGTAATGGCGCAGCAGCCGGTGGGCGGGGCCCAACCCCAAGAAGGAAATCAGCCTGAAGGAGCAGGGTGGGCAGCTGTGTGAGCTCCTCAAGCCTGAAGACCAAATGGAAAGGCAGATCAGAGTCGCGTGGGCGCCCTTCTGTCACCCCCCGCCATGGCTCGCTGCTGGGGCAGCTTCTCTGCCTTGTGGGTCCATGGGCTTCTCTGCTCTTAATCTCGGTCTCCTCATCGACCCTGGGGTTCTGCCATGATCGGGGGAGACACCAAGCCACCCTCATGGCATACTACCCACGTGCCTCAGTTTACCCTTGCTGGAGCTGGGCCCCACGACGCAGAGCCCGTGGCGCCCCTGCAGGCCTGAGGAGCTGCCCAGGGCACCAAATCCGTAGCAGTTCTAGCAGGTTCCTGGGCCGGGGGCCGCCGGCAGGGCCAGATCAGGGCCTGGGGTGGGGGATGCCCGGGGTCTGTCGCCGGCTTCCTGTAATGTCCGCCCCGCCCGGCAGCGCGCAGTAACCCCTGTTGTGTTCCTTGCGCAGGAAGACCCCAGCGTCTGAGCGAAAGACCATCCTGCTTTCAGCCACTGTTTGCACAAGACGCCCAGCACTGAAAGTCCTGCTGCTGCGAACCAGGGGGCCTTTGACAGCACCCACCCTTTTGTGCCTTGTTGGGGGTTGTACACCAGTAACGCAGAAGTACCTGTTGATGTTCAGGAGTTTTCAGATGGGAAGCGGGGGCGGAGGGGCCGGCGGACGTTTTGTTAAGCGCTTTCCACTCAATAAAGTGAACCCATATGGAAAATACTTGAAATTGAACTTGCTCCTTCCACTTCCCCTTTCTTCTGCCCCAGGCATTAGACCCTCTTTTGAAAAGACTCTTCTAGGAGACACTGTATTCTTGCCCTGATTGTATGTGTTCTTTCTTTTCTTGATTTTTAATTTATTTTGGTTGGGATCTTGCCGGAAGGCTCCTGTATCCACGCGAAGCGAATCCCCTGGTGGTGTTTGGAGGCCCCAGCACCTCCTGCGTGGAGGAGGCGGGTCTCCAGGGGCCTTGGGGCTGCGCCTCGTCTCTTTCTTATCATGAGCCTGTGGAGATCTATGGTTTTGTACTTCTGGGCGTTGGGGAGGTGGTTAACTTTCTAGTGATGGACTATTGTTGGGTTTTGAAATACCAAAGCTTTTTTTTTGTTCTGTTTTTAAATAAATTTCTTTCAAAATTCCATGACTGGTCTGTGTGTGGTTGAACCCTCTGGAGACACCATCTTTTCCTCCGTCTCCAGACTTTGGGGCATGAAGTGGGAGGCCACACAACCTCGTCCTGCCAGAGGGATGGCAGCTATATCCCCTGTCCTAGGGGTCCATGCAGAAGAGGTGCAGGTGCTCGTCTTCCTGCTCCTGGGTGTTGGGGGGATGCTGCAACAGCGCCTGCTCCCCCAGTGCCCTGGGTTTTGTCGGCTGTAGGACTGGGTAACAGGGAAGACCCCAAGTGGGCCTACTGCTCACCTGAGCTAAGATCTGAGCTCGCCCCTCACGGGAAGAAGGGAAGCATCCCAGGGACCAAAGAAGACTGAGCTGGACCTGCAGTCCACTCGGTGGACTCGGAGGCCATCCATCCTCGGTGTTGGTGGGGGTTCCCTGGACTTCCAGACAAGCATTAAGCTGCCAGACACCAGGAAGCTCGGCTGGCTGTGGAGGTGCTAACTGCCCCTCAACTGGGGCTCTGAGACAAGCTGTCCAGGCTGGTGCTTCAGTTCCCAGAACCCTCCACCCCTGCTCTGGTCATGCAGAACTCAGGACCGCCCAGCCATGGGCTGTGGGCCATGGGCTGCCTCACCCTTTCCTATGCACGAACCCCAGGGTTTGGGTTGGGTGTGGGTTGTCATGTGACCTGCCCCCCACCTGCTACATCAACCTGGAAACTACTTGACAAGAGGAAACACACTTGGGCCTCCCTGGTGGCGCAAGGGGTTAAGAAGCAACCTATGAAGCTGTCTGCAGCCACTGCAGCACAAGTTCGATCCCTGGCCAGGGAGATACCCACATGGCACAGACCCTTCCTGTCTCGCCTGCTGCTCCCCTCAGCAGTGTATTTCAGTCAATCTGCCTGTTCTGTTCCCCACTGTTTCTGGTGAATCCTCTCACCCCCCACACCTCTGGCCTGTACCCCAGTTCTTCTGTGCATAAGTAAATCTTTAAAAAAGAAAAAAGATGAGGTTGTTGGATGTTGCAGCCACATCCTTTAAAAAAAAAAAAAGAGGACACCCCCCACCCCCAGCTTCACCTGGCAAGGGCCCAGGTTGTGGGCTCCTGAAATGGGAGTGCTCCTGAGTGTGCACTCCCTGGGCCTGAGGATTTGCTAGCAAGGCTAGCACTGCAATAGACCTCTAGTGGTGAGTGACAGCTCTCATTTAAGTGCTCGCCATGTGTTAGGGATTTCACATCAACATGGCCCCTTGTGGTAACGGGTTCCAATCCCAGCTTGAGAGATGTTGTAACGACCCGGGACGGTGCAAAACTCACCTAAGGCCACGCAGCTGCCAACGCCAGGCCAGACTGCAGACTTGGCTTACCTGGGGCCCAGCCTTCCTTCGGTCTTCACACTCCTGCTTCACCCACGTCCTCTATGGTGTAACCAAGCCCGGATGGTTAATTGCTCTCCGGCTCTAGAGCACAAAAGCAAAAAGTGAGCTTACTTTTTGAGGCTGTATTCACCGATGAGGTTTATTTGTAGAAGCCACAGCCTATGCAAGCAGTAGTGACTACCCTGAGCTGAGCCTCAAGGCCGCTGGAGCAAGGAAGCTGCAGACGCAGAGGAGGGGGGCAGGACAGAGGCGAGCGGCTGCCCCACAGATCTAAAACCCCAATTTTCTGAAGGGGCAGAAAATGGAACAGGAAATTTGGTTGCATACCCCCAGCACGTCCCCTGAGCTGAAAAGCTGGTCCGGAAGGGCCTTTCTCCCTGCAGGCCCAGCAGCCACACGTCTTCCGAGTCCACCCGTTCCCGCCGCCACGGCTCTAACCGCGGCTTCTCTCGCCTTCCTGAAGCGGCCAGGCACTTAGCACAGGTGTAGGACATAGCCCCGAAGCACGGGCTGCTTCTCCGGCAGGGAGGGGCCTCACCCATGGGAGACGACCCAGCAGACTGGTGCTCCCCTCTGCTCCTTGGGTGGCAGTTCTGAGACCCATTCTAGAGTTCTAGAGTTCGCCTGCGCAGCCCGCTGGCCCCATGGTGAAAAGTAGACCAGGCACCCGGGCTTGGTTTTCTCTCCTTCATCTTACCCTCCCCAGCCTCCCATCCCTGCCACCTGGGATCTCTCCCTAAATAATCTCCCTGCTCACAAGCTCTGGCTGCATGTTAGGACAGCGACCCCAGGCCTGTGGCTCCTCGGGAGGACTCAGCAGGAGGCAGCGGGCTTCGGCCTTGTTCGCCTCCCCCTTCCCCAAGCCCATTTGTTGAAATCCTAACCCCACGGTGAGGTTATTTGAAGGTGGAAATTTTGGGAAGTGAGTAGGTCACAAGATGGGGCCTTCGTGATGGGACTAGCGCCTTCATAAAAGAGACCCCCCCAAACTCTGTCTTTTCATCATGTGAGGACACAGCGAGAAGAAACCCAAAAGAGTTCTTTTTTTAAAAGTGATTAATTAATTAATTAATACATACAGGAACAAACTGGGTGTAGGCCAGAGGTGCAGAGGGTGGGGGTGGGGTGAGAGGATTCCCAGAGACAGAGTGGGGAGCAGAACAGGCAGACTGACTGAAATACACCGCTGATGGGAGCAGCGGGCGAGACAGGAGAGGTCTGCTGCACCAAGTGGGTCAGCTCCCTGGCTGGGAATGGAACTCAAGCTGCCAGTGGCTAATGACAGCTTATAGTGCTGAGACTTTAACCCCTGTGCCACAAGGGAGGCCCCAGAAGAGAGTTCTTATAAGAACTCCACCATGCTGGTGTCCTGACTTTGGGCTTCCAAATTCCAGGACGGTGAGAAGTAAATGTCTGCTGCTTCTCAGCTCTCTGGGCTGTGGTTTTCTGCAGTCTGAATGGACTGAGACAGCCTTGTTCTTTCTCGAGGAGTGGAATTTTTTAGGGTGAAACAGGCCAACAACACAGAGATCATGTCTTAGATGAAGAGACCGGAGAGCTTTTCTTGCCCCAATATGTAACCTTGTTTGAGGGATTGGTTAGCCCCAGCAATTGCAAAATATTTGTATATATTTTTTGTACATTTTTTTCCCCACAAGGCAAGATTTTGTAGCTTTCCTCAGTTTCTCAAAAGGATGTCTGACTTAAAAAACCTTAAGAACAAGACAACCTGTGCCCTTTGGGGTCTGAGAGCCGCACGTCTGTCTAGGGGTCTGATTAGGAGTCTGGCAATTGGAGGTTACCCCACTGCTGTGAGCACTCACCCTGCACAAAAGAGGCCGGAGGGCGGGGCAAAAGGCCTGGCCCTGGATAAGTTATCTGTTGTCTGACACTCCTCGCTCCCAGAAACCTCTCCTCTGGACTTTGGCTGGTGGAAGCTTCTGGTACCCCATTGGTTCAGTGACTATTCATTGTAAAACTTCCAGCAGGCCAGGTTCGGTTGATGTTCGGGTGACAGGATGAGAGGTTTCCTTGATGGGCACCTCCTAAGGGCTTGGTCCTTCCCCTCTGGCTTCAGCCCTGTGATCTGACAGGAGGGCCCTGGAACAGACAGCTCCCGGCGAGGCTCTGTGGGTGTCGTGGGAGAGGACAGAACAGAGGACAGGGGAGCTTCTGAGAAAGGCCGTGACGTCTCTCATAATCAAACTCTGAGAAAAGGTAGCTTTTCTCAGCACCTCTGGGGCTGGGAGCTGGATCTAAGAGAGAGCTCTGGGCCAGGCACTGGGCCCCCAGGTTTGCGTCTGGCTCAATCACCATCATCACACAAACCTCAAATGAGTGAGTGAAACGTTGACTCTCAAGGTTCCCACCTGTAAAATGGGTCTAATAACACCTTCCAACTTCATAAGCTGCGGAGGATGTCCCGCTTTGTGATTGTGGCTTTATGAGTCCAGAACTTTCTACCCTCCCAGGGGGCAGCTGTATTGTATTCTGGGAACACACATGGGGGCTTCTAAACCAGGGGCCCAGGGATGGAATACAAGGGGTATGTGAACTTGGAATGGAAAAACACCTTTATTTTCATTAACTTCTAACTGCAATCCAGCATGTCCTTGAAGTTTGAACTTCACGTCATTGTCTCAAATACAAACCACAGACGTGTCCAGGGCCGGTCCCCGTGGTGGGAATCTTGTTCATGCTTTGGATGACCTTGTCCTTGTGGTGCTTGTCAGACCAGCCACTGGATCCCAACATTTAATCTCTCCATAAATACGCAGAGCGTTACCAAGGACACATTGTTTTGAATATGTATTTAAAACTTAAAAGTGATGGATCGTGATGAATATAGAAAAAAGGAGCTTCCCCGTCCCACCCTGTCCCAACGACCACCCATCCTGCCCCACTCACATAATTATTTTCACAAACCAAATTCTACTTTATTACTGTATTGTTTTCCCCTCAAATTGTTTTCCCCTTTAAATACATGCTGCGCGTGTTACACAAGTTACACCTCAGCCAGGTTGATTTTCTGCTCCCTTTCCCCGTCACCCCTTACACCCACCGGATCCTTTCTCCTTCCCACCCCTTAATCTCAGAAACCTCACCTGTTTCTTAAAGTCTGACAGTTTTGGTAAATATTTTGCTTGTCAATTCCACGGCATCCCTTATTTTACTCACATTTATGGAAACATCCAATGTTTGTCTTTGTCCTGCTGATTGACTTCACTCCACACCATTCCCTCGAGTTCTTTCCATGTCGCTGGAGCGGGTATCGATTCCTTTCCTTACAGCTGGAGAGTGTTGACATAGTGACCAGCTCGCACCCTGTGCACCCAGACCTCCATCAGCACTTAGGTTGCTGCCCCGTCCCAGCTATTGCGAGTAGGTAGGTCTGCAACGAACACTGCGGACCATATAATTTTTTAAGTGAATGGTTTCAAGTTCTCAGGTAGATGCCCACGGCGGGGTTGCTGGGTCATATATTTCCATTTTTAGTTTTGTTTTTTTTTTAAGATTAGTTTTATTTATGCATACAAGAACTGGGGTGTAGGCCAGAGGTGCGAGGGGGTGAGAGGATTCACCAGAGACAGAGTGGGGAGCAGAACAGGCAGATTAACTGAAATCCACTGCTGAGGGGAGCAGCGGGCGAGACAGGAGAGGTCTGCTGTGCCATGGGGGTAGCTCCCTGGCCGGCCTGGGATCGAACTTGTGCTGCAGAGGCTGCGGATTGCTTCATCGTGCTGTGTCTTATCCCCTTGCGCCACGGGGGAGGATCTGATTAAACTTTTTAATACATCTTGAATATTCGTCCCTTCTTGGACCACGAACATTATTTTGAAGCAAATCCAGGACGTAGTACCAGGGGCTGGGGAGGTGCAAAGAATGACCTGGGTCAGACCAAGGGAAACATCCTCACAGACCCACCCAGAAATAGCGCTTTGCCAGCTGCCTGGACATCCCTGAGCCCAGCAGAGCTGCCAGGGAAAAGTGAACCATCACAGTGGCCAGTTAGGTCATTTCGTTTTGTTTGGCTATATTTACAGACTCCTGGAGGTAAACATATTTGAAATGCTTTGAGCCTTTTTGAATTTTAGTCTCGGTCCCAGGAACGCACCTTGGGCTCCCGGGAGCCTCTTGAAGGTGGTGTATTTCCTGACTTGTGCCCGGGACCAGCCATTTCCCTGAGGATCCGCTGCCTCTGAACAGGGAATGTTTGGGGGACCGTCCCTGGGGGTTTGGAACGGCGTTGGTTGGCACCAGTTTGCCAGAGGAGAACAAGCAAGTTTAAAATCTCTCCTCTCCAGCCGTCAAAGCCCAAAGGAGGTTCTGGCCTCCAGCACTTGTCCTGACAGAGCAGCTGGCCTGAGGGACGGAGGAACGTTACCCCATCAGGGCTAGGCTAGTGTTGGGGACCAACAAGGCAGAGTTGGGCTCTGGGCAGCCGGCTCAGGCAACCCTGGACTATCAAGAAGGCCTGGGAGGGGCTTACAGCACAGCCATTATTCTGGCCTTGGTGGGCTCCTTGCACCACAGGCTGGGCCAGGAAGGCACAGCTGGCCACAGCGTGGAGGCTGGGAAGCCCAGAGAGGAGCCCAAGGCAGAACTCCCCAAAAGGTCCCTTCTCCCCTTCACTGGGGCAGCCGGCTAGTTCTCTTACCCGGTTTCTAGTCTCTCCCCTAGTAACTTACACCATTTGGGGGTGGGGGTGGGTATGGGTGGTGTGTGTGTGTGTGTGTGTGTGTGCGTGTGCCTCACAGGCAAGACTACATTTCCCAGGCTGAAGGTGTGGCGCCAGGGGTTAAGCACCGCACTATGAAGCAGTCTGCAGCAGCTGCAGGATGAGTTCGATCCCCAGCGGCCAGGGAGCTACCCACTTGGCGCAGCAGACCTCTCCTGTCTCCCCGCTGCTCCCCTCAGCAGTGTATTTCAGTAGATCTGCCTGTTCTGCTCCCTGCTCTGTCTCTGGTGAGTCCTCTCACTTCCCCGCATCTCTGACCTGTACCCCAGCTCTTCTATGCACAAATAAATAAATCTTAAAAAAAAAAAAATAAAATAAACCTTAATTTAAAAAGAAGAAATGGGGGCCTCCCTGGTGGCGCAGGGGTAAAAGTCTCAGCTCTACCAAGCTATTGCCAGCCCTGCCAGGGAGCTACCCACACCGGCGCACAGACCTCTCCTGCCTCGCTGCTGGTCTGCTCCCCACTGCGTCTCAGGGGAATCCTCTCACCCCCCACACCTCTGGCCTGTACCCCGGCTCTTTACATGCCTAAGTAAAAGAAAACCTTTAAAAAAAAAAAAAATTGTTGGCAGACATGCCCGAGATGAATTTGGAAAAATTAAATCTAATACAAGCTGCGCGCGCACAGCCAGTTTATCGGGACGCCCCTTCTTGCACGTGTCTGAGCCTCCGCCACCGAGGAGCCCGCCGGGAGTGTCAGGTGCGCTCACCTGCGGGCACACCTGGGCCGGCGCTTGCAGAAACCAGAGATAAGCAACAAGCAGAAAAAGCAGGAAACCAAGTCAGTCTTTCTTTTCACGGAGCTTGGGAGCCTCGCCAGCGCAAGGCCTCAAAAAATTGGGTAAAAACTCAGAATTGTTCCTCTCCACGGAAATCTTTAGTAAAAGGCGAAAGATTTATGCGATCTGAAGAGAAACCAGAGTATGCCCGGAGGCCGGTGCGCACGCTCCTCGGGTAACCGCCACCCCTAGTTCTGTAATGGTGACTATGTGTGCACGAAAGCCAGTGATGTCTGCCTTCCTCCCAGACAGCTCTGACAGAATGGTCTCATTCGGGAGGAAAAGTAACCGATGGAAAAAAGGAGAATCTACTCATTTTTAAGTCGGTAATTGTGTTATGCGCAATGCATTATGGGTATGCAAATAAGCCTCTTAGTCGCCACGCCCCGGTGTCCGGAAATACCCGCGCGTTTTCGTGCAGGGACCCGGGCGGCCGCCAGAGGGCGGAGCGGAGCCAGGTCCACGGGCGTAAGGCCCGGAGCCCGGGCCCGCAGAAAAAGCCTTAGTTGTAGTTGGCACTGCAACTAAAAATGTCTTATGGACTTAAAAAACAACAAAGCGTTAAATGAAATAAAATGGAAGCAATTAGGGCCTCCCCTGGTGGCGCAGCGGTTGCGCGCTGGGCTGCGAAGCTACCTGCAGCCTCTGCAGCACCGGTTCGATTCCCGGCCCCGGGCGAGGGGCCCACATGGCGCGCAGACCCCTTCGTTCCCCGCCCTGTCTCTGCTGAATTCTCTCACCCTCCCGCGCTTCTGACTGTACCCAGTGCTTGAATAAAATAAATCTTAAAAAAAAATTGAAACAATTATCTTCGTTCACCTAATAAAATCCGGTGAGTGCTGGCTTAACCCCCTGCTAAACTCCCAGATTTCCTCTCCAAGGAGCTCTGTATGTGATGGCGTGGCAGGTGCATATGACAAACCCTGATAACACCTTTCCTGGGACATCTGGGCAGAGCCTAGAGGGTGCACAGTTGAAGGGCAGCAAGGGCGTCCGGGCAGGGCAGCACCTGCAGAGAGGAAGTGCCAAGATCTTTTCTCTGCTGTAAAGGGCAGAACTGGACACGGTGCAGGCTTTCCTGATCCAGCAGACCGGGTAAAGGAGGAGTCAGAGTCCTCAGTGGTTTTCTGCAGGTCTTTTATTGAGCTTCACCAGGCACATGGCAGGCAGGGGTGCCGGGGGGCCGGGAGGCTGGCAGGCCTCCCAGCCCCCAGCAAATCCTCACTCTATCTGGGCTCTCTGGTGATCGTGGCTTCTCATTCAGCTTCTGCTGCTTCAGCTTCTCCTGGCGTCCCCATGACACCACCCTTAAAAGCACAGTCTTAGCCCAGGTGTACCCACTCCAGGTGCCCGCCATCAGGCATGCATTCAGGATCACAGGGTTCCCTCATCCATCCTGATGGCAGGAGGGCAGAAAAGCCTGATTTTTTACCTTACCCTAAATCTGCCCAACAAAACCATATTCCTCAGTATTTAAGTTTTTGTATTAGGAAGAAATTAATTAAATTTAAGGACTAGATTAAACTCAGGTTTGATTTCATTTTGCACCCTGGGAGGGGGCATAATATAAAACAGCTGAGAAATTCAATCGTTCACATCTGGAGGGTCCTCCAGTCCCTCCAATGCCCCCTCAAGATGCTGTGTCATGCAGGTCCTTCAGGCCATTGCCAAGGCCCAAGGTGAGGGCAGATCACAAGCGAAGGAAACGCTTCCTCCCTTCCTCAATTTCAGGATCATGAGGTCATTGGAGTGGTGCTTAGAGGTCGCCATAGTGGATGAGGCTCTGCAGGGGAGGGCCCTGCCTAAGGTCCCCGCACGGCCTTCGTAGGGGTTTTGAACCAGACACCACTGCTGGCCCTGGGCCTGTCTGTGGTCTCTGAGCCTGGACAACATGGTCCCCCCTTCTGTCTGTTTCGGGCTGCACGTGGCCCCCTCCTGGGAGGATGTGTCAGACTGTGACCAGCTCCAGAGTGTGGTTGTGGCTGTGGCCCCTCAGATCCCTAGAGCCCGTGAGGGAAGCAACCTGCCGTGTCCTGAGCCCCCAAGTCACCAGAGGCCATTACCGTGCCTGCCAAGAAGCTGGCCCACAATAGCATTTACGAGGATTTTTATGGTTAATTTCAACACAGTACTTTCTGCCATCAGAGTCAGGGCAGAGCCTCTGCGCGGTGTTTGTTCCACCAGTGGGGGGCGACTCTGAGCTTTCATCCCTTAGAGGCTAGCAGTACCCAGTGCCTGCCTGAAGCATGCGTGGTGCGTGGCACGTGCACAATAAACGTCTCTCCAGTGTATGAACCCACTGCCCGATATAAGTTTCTTTCTCAGAGACAGACATTAACACCCCCCATTTTATTTTATGTATTTTAAAGATTTATTTATTTATGCATACAAGAACTAACTGGGATGTAGGCCAGAGTTGTAGGGGGTGAGAGGATTCACCAGAGAGAGTAGGGAGCAGAACAGGCAGATCGGGTGACATACACTGCAGAGGGGAGCAGCAGGGGGACAGGAGAGGGCTGCTGAGCCATGTGGGGTCACCTCCCTGGCTGGCCAGAGATCCATCTTGTGCCGCAGTGGCTGGCAATAGCTTGATAGTGCTGTCTTTAACTCCTGAGCCACCAGGGAGCCCCGGCGACTCTGTTTTAGACCAGCAAGGGGCCAGGAGTGTCTGGGCAATGCTCAAACCTGACCATATTCATTGATACTGAAGAAAGACTATATTGGTTTGGGGTCAAGCAGCGAGAACGTGATCCAACATTGGAAAGAGAGGAGACGTGGGTTCCCATGAGCTGGCTACTAGCTGGCCACTCATGGGCAACTGTGACCTATCTGCTATCTACACATCACTGCAGAGTGTTCCTTGACCACCTTTGGAGCAGAGCCCGTGTCAGGAGGCAGCCCAGGGAAGCCAAGTCCGCTGTTGACTCGATTACATTACTGTCTCCATGGTGATCTCAGGATGACTCTGCCTGTGATAACATCAAATACTTTGGGGACGCAAATGGCTCTTGATGTAGGGTCACTATGTCCCCTTCCCCGTCCCTTGAAAAACTTGCCCCCCATCCTTTTTAAAAAAGTGATTTATTTATTCATGCATATAAGAGCTGGGGTACAGGCCACAGGTGTGTGTGGGGGGAGGGGTGAGAGGATTCCACAGAGACAGAATGGGGAGTAGAACAGGGGGATTTACTGAAATAATGCTGGGGGGAACAGCAGGTGAGACTGGAGAGGTCTGCTGTGCCACGTGGGTCAGCTCCCTGGCTGCAGATTGAACTTGTGCAGTGCTGCACTGGCTGCGGATAGCTTCATAGTGCTGAGACTTAACCCCTTGCGCCACAGAAGGCCCCCTGTTCCCCATTCCTACTCCACCCACCAGGCCTTACTCCTCATGCCACTGTCTCATCATCAGCTTTACTAGCCTCGGTGCTTTCAATCAAAGGCACAAGAACTTCTGCTCAAGGAGCAGACTCAGGCCTTACCAACCTGCTCCAGAGTTCCTGCCGCACCTGGGTGATAGAAAATGGGGGTATTATCTGTTTTGCTTAATACAAAAACTATGACTTTGCATTTGGATTTGGGAGTTTATAGCACCGGTGGGACTGAAACAGATAACTGTGATAGCACAAAGGAATTCAATGGAATTCTGCCCTTTTAATGTATTTTAACTTTTACCCGAAGTGGCCAAATATTAATTCTAGGTACACTGTAGACCTGACATTAATCATGCATATTATAATCCCCAGAGCAACTTAAGAAGTATTGCTAAAAAACTTAATTAAAGAACAGAAGTGCAATATAAACTTATTCACTTAGCATAATGGGAGTCAGGAAGCGACAAAGAACTAGAAGAACAGATAAATAGCAACATGATAGGCCGATGCCCAGTCATTTAATGTATCAGTAATTACATTAAATGCAAATGGAATTAAACCTTCTAATTAAAAGCCACAAGTTATCCAAAGGATAAGGAAACAACATTCAACTGTATATTGCTAGAAGCCATACACTTTAAATATGAAGACACAAATAGGTTGAAAGGAAAAGGATGGACAATTATGTGCCATTCACTGGTAAGCATTATAAACTTTATGCAGTTATGTTAATACTGCAATATCTCCTCACTAATAGTCATGACAGGTATGAAAATTTCAGGCTGGTCAGAAACAGGGGTGACAGGAGGCCTCTAGTCTTGACTCAAAGCAGCCAGAGCATTGTTCAGAAATTTGGACAAAATTGCCTTGTTTCCACGCTACAACAATTAACCAGCCTCCCCTAGCCTGGCCCTTGGCACCAGATATACCACTGTCAACCCAGCCACCCACCCACCCATCCATCCATCTACACTTGCTTTTGAGACTTCAGTCAACCTTCTAAGCGTCGAACAGGAGGAACACCCAAAGCTGCTTGTAAGGCCAAGCATAAGGGCTCATCTGAGAAGCAGGGGGGCCCTGCCTGCCCTCCATCATTTTGGGTTTCCAGTCTCCCCACAGTTGGGGGTGAATGACTCTTGAGGGTCAGGGGCCCCTGAAGCGACTTCCACAGTGTCTCCAGCAGGTGGCGCTGCAGGCCATCTCCTCACCTGGGTGACCTGCTGGCCCTGTGGGCATTGGGGAGGGAGCAGGCTGCCAGGCGCCAGGCGGGAAGACAGGACAGTCTCAGCCTGACCAGCCTGGCCTCTGCCCACGCCTGACTCAGGGCAGTGGGCAAAGCAGGGAACTCTCTCTCATAAGGGGTCTTGACCCTTGACGGCTTCCTGGGCTCCATGGAGGGCCTGTTCCCTCTTGCCAACTGGGGCTGGGTCTTCTGTGCAGCACCCCTGAGAGGGGTGCTCAGGGCCTGAGAAGGGGCGCACACCTGCAGCTCGATGGCCCACAGCTCCGTGGTGCAGACGGTGGCCCCGGCTCCACGGTCCCTTGGCGGTGGTGCCTCCAGGCCCTGTGCCACCTACATGGAAGTCTGCGTCAGTGCCACCGGCCAGTGCGAGGCTTGGGTCCTCCCCTTCCCACTGTGCCCTCTCACCCACAGCACCCTGGGGAGTTGCGGGTCTTTGTCTCCCCGAGGAAGAGTAGCTCTTCACCCCCGGAGGCCAAGTGTGGGCTTCCTATCCCGAGAGGCAAAGGCTGCTGGACTTGTCA